TGTTGTTTTGATGAATCCCTTACCCAAAGAACACCGACCAAATATTTGATTTACCCCCGAGCGCTTTTTGTTTGTTTTTCTGTATTAATAAAATAAACCAGTTATTATAAATGAGTTATTAAAACTATTATTATTACAAATGTGTTGAAAAAAATCTCACCGTTAAACAGAAATTGGGGAAAAAATAAACAGGGGGGCTAACAATTCAGGGGGGCTAATAATTCTGACTTCAACTGTATATATATATATATATATATATATATATATATATATATATATATATATATATATATATATATATATATATTTGTATATAGGAATTTCATTTATGCACCATTTAGTCACCCTACAGAGCTACAAAACAATATTTCAAAAAAAGTTTGAAAATGTTTTCCATAACATCACCAACAAATTGTATCTTTTGTATAAACCACAAGTAAAAAAGTATTACTCCATCCATATAAACATGTGATAATGTGTCAGCCGCATAATTAAAGGTCTGTTTTGTGCGCACTCTCCCAAATAAGCACATGATTTGAAGCGTCAACCTTGAATAACACATTGTATAATCTAATGCGCTCAGCACATCGAACCGTTTGCACACTCTTCACTCAGTTAATATTGACACTCCTCCGGAATGCCTGGCAGCTCGGCTGTGAACTCAGAGGTGTCAATATTCATTATTTAAGCATTAAAATAACTTTCACCCAAAACCACATCATGCTCTCAGCTTTTATAACAGCCACAGCTTTCGTAACACAAACAGCATGATTCGTCACTTCTCATCTGATACTCCTATAGTCAACAAATCAACATCTGCTGCCGCACCAGAAATAAAGCTGCATTTAGATTGACAGAAGGTTTGACATGATAGGAACACTGTGTGATATTAACTGTTACTTCACGCATCGAACTGGGGTTTGTTGGTAGCTCAATCTTATAATGTTTTCGCATTTACTCACCAATTTGACCTTATAAATAGACTATGGACGAATTTCAATACAATGAAAGTCCATTTGGCCCAATATAGATCCTAATGCAGGGGCGGACTGGCCATTTGGCAATTCTGGCAAATGCCAGAAGGGCCGGACCATTTTTTATATTAGGGCCGGTCAGCTGTTTTTTTTATTTATTTATTTTTGTTATATGTATTGTTTTTACATCCAGGCAGCTTTTATCTCTTTCAAGATATGAGTATTATGATGATGATGAGGATGATGATGATGATGATGATGATGGTGATGATGGTGATTCTAGTAATAATATTAATAAATGTTAAGCATTGGCCCAATCGACAATGATCAGCTGGTTTCGAGATGGGCTGACCCAATTAGAGTTTCGCAGACAAAATCAAAATCTAGTCAAGAATGTCAAATAAACAGTGTGCAACACAAGCTAATTGTCAGAGATGGACCGTAAAAAAGGAAAGGCGGTGCCGAAAAGCAATGTCTTAAAAATCAGACACTGCCAAATGCATAAAATTAACTGAAATAGTGTCGAAAGGGCGCAGGGGTGCAAAAAGGTCGCTATTTCGAGCCTCAGCTGAGTTGTTTCTGTGTGGAGTTTGCATTTTCTCGTGGGTTTCCTCCTGGTTTCCCAGACAAGTCCAAACACATGTGCTATAGGTGAATTGGGTAGGCTTAATTGTCCGTTGTGCATGTAGGTGAATGTGTCTTGTGTGTGTGTGTGTGTGTGTGTGTGTGTGTAGGGGTTTCCCAGTGGGCATCTGCTGCGTAAAACATATGCTGGATAAGTTGCCGGTTCATTCCGCTGTGGCGATCCCAGATTAATAAAGGGACTAAGCTGACAAGAAAATTAATGAATGAAATGATTGCATGTATAAATTTATTATAAATGAGTTGTTTTTGTTCCACTCACATCCATCAAATATCTATTAAATATGGTACTGCTTATATTATTTCACCATCTGTACACCAATATAAGTAATGAATGTGCGTGTCTGTGTATAGGGCTGTGGTAATGTGGTAATGTGGCTACAGTGCCAGGGCTGATTTTTGGTCCCAGTCCACCCCTGCCCTAATGTATATATTTTTGTGTTGCATCGAAGAAAGAAAGTCATGCAGGTTGAAAAAGTTAAACAAAATGATAACAGCGAATAAATGACAGGCTTTTATGATTTATCACTGCTTTTCACATTGAATCCTGGATAAAGGGATAGTTCACTCAAATATAAAAATGTACTCAATAATAGCCCCTTTCACACAAGCAGACCTTTCCGGAAAATTACCGGCAATTTTCCAGAAAGGTCTGTATAAAAATACCGGTAATTTCGTTCTAACTATTTTCTGGAAAGAGAAGTTGTAACATTACCGGTAATTTGCCAGAATGCTGCGCTGTGTGAATGCAGAAGGTAGATAGCCAGAAAGAGCGCGTTCATGTCTAGAACGTGCTGACGTGAGACGTCTGCTTCAGCCAATCAGAACAGTCAGATACATTATAATATTATCAATATTATACAAAAGCAAATTGTTATGAATGAACTTAAAAAGCCCCCCAAGATGAAGAAGCCATGAAGGCAGTAGTTTTTATATTTATGTAGGCTAGAAAATAATATGTTTTGTAATATTTTAATCCTTTATATTTATATCCTATTTACACCCCCCACTCTCCTCTAACTTAAACTCCTCGCAATAACTGCACTGTTTAACATTTGCACGTTTAAAATTTGCACATTCACTGCACCACATTGAACTGTTTACTTATTGAACTGTACATACCCACTGCATATGGGCATTTGTAATTATGTACACACCCACTATACATATACACTGTAATCATGCTTATTTATCTGCATACTACTGATTATTAATATAGCAACCTGTACATATATTCATATATTGTAACATACACACTTGTAATCATGTTTATTTATCTGCACACTACTGATTATTAATAGCAACCTGTACATATATTCATATATTGTAACATATACACTTGTAATCATGTTTATCTATCTGCACACTACTGATTATTAATAGCAACCTGTACATATATTCATATATTGTAACATATACACTTGTAATCATGTTTATCTATCTGCACACTACTGATTATTAATAGCAACCTGTACATATATTCATATATTGTAACATACACACTTGTAATCATGTTTATTTATCTGCACACTACTGATTATTAATAGCAACCTGTACATATATTCATATATTGTAACATATACACTTGTAATCATGTTTATCTATCTGCACACTACTGATTATTAATAGCAACCTGTACATATATTCATATATTGTAACATATACACTTGTAATCATGTTTATCTATCCCTGTACATATATTCATATATTGTAACATATACACTCGCAATCATGTTTATCTATCTGCACACTACTGATTATTAATAGCAACCTGTACATATATTCATATATTGTAACATACACACTTGTAATCATGTTTATTTATCTGCACACTACTGATTATTAATAGCAACCTGTACATATATTCATATATTGTAACATATACACTTGTAATCATGTTTATCTATCTGCACACTACTGATTATTAATAGCAACCTGTACATATATTCATATATTGTAACATATACACTTGTAATCATGTTTATCTATCCCTGTACATATATTCATATATTGTAACATATACACTCGCAATCATGTTTATCTATCTGCACACTACTGATTATTAATAGCAACCTGCACATATATTTATATTTTGTAAATCTGAATATTTTGGAAATCATAGCTTATCCAACCTGTATATAATGTTCATAGTACATCCATCTGTATATATCACCATAGTTTTTCTATAACTGCACTTTATAACTTATTCCTGTATCCTGCACTTGCTGCTATTGCACTGCTGGTTAGACCTAAACTGCATTTCGTTGCATTGTACTTGTACATGTGTAATGACAATAAAGTTGAATCTAATCTAATCTATATATATCCCTCTTATTTTAATTCTTTTTCATATATAAAGATATTTGCCTATTGCTCTACAATTGCTTGATTTGTTCTGGTCTATTGAAAAATCTATTACAGTTTCTCAAAATAGCAACGCGCCTCAGAACGCCTTTCTTTTTAGACCAGAACGCCTATGGGCGCACATATGAGCGCAAATGCATTTGCTATTTAAACAGCGTGCTGCAAAACGTCAAAACCACTCTTGCGCCAAGCTGAAACTAGCAAACAACAATTGTGTCGCGCCTTGCGCCGGGTGTATAATAGGGCCCATTGTGTGACATTACCTGCATAAGCTTTCAAATATATAAACCCAGCAAACACAGAAGGTGGCCCAAACATTCCCATATAGTTTAACAAGTGTTTTCCATTTGTTTACGGTTGTCAATTTCATTTTGGGACCTTAATCTCTGCTCTGTTGATTTTTAATGTTGAAAATGCAACTTTGCTGTTTAACAAAATGACTTTTATTGACATTTTAGTAGTTTGAAGTAATATAATGTATAAGAAATAATATATAGTGAGAAATGAGTCTGTAAAATAACAGAAAATGTACTGGCAGTTTATGTCAAGGTCTTTGTACTGTAATATACAACACCAACCCAGACAATATTTCACTTCAAACTATTAAAAATATTAATAAAAGTCACTTTTTCAAACTTTTCAAGGTTAAAAGTTATTGGAAGAAAGATCAATGTCCCATAATGCAATTCAAAAGCTTAAATAAATTTAAAAATAATTAAAAAACACAATACAAAATACGAAAAAATGCAAATTTACGTATATTTATTTACATTCTAAAGGAAACATCTACATAAATGAAACTTCAGGGATGATATTACATGTTGGTGTGGCTAACATACATCTTGGTTGGTCATTCTTGCTATAACAGGCCATAAATGTGCCTCTTAATTATAAATGTGAAACATTCCTTTACTCAGGATTAAACAAAGGGGATTGAAGGACATTAATCTGAAGGAAAGATAGGGAAAAGCTGATAAAAAGGTCACCAAACACTGACCCGCTTCCCTTTTCTGCCCTCAGATGGCCATTCTGGTGGGTCTGCGCTATCTGCAGACTGCAATGGAGGGAGTGCTGGGACAGGAGAATGTGGAGATCGAGACTGAAGGATACATCCTAGAGAAGGGAGTGAAGGAGACATTGCTGGAGACCAAAGAAAAGATGATGAAACTTCTTCAGTTCGCTCAGGTGGGCGACGCGTCTGCTGAGACCCCGGGATCAGAGCCAGAGGCGGAGAAGCCAGCCACAGCCTAAAAGACCAAGTGTTATTGTATAAAAGGAGCTCTCATGCATATATGAGTGCTGTCCTGTCCTTGATTATATCATCCTCCTAAGGGAATAAATCATCATGGTAATTATAATGTAACACTGTTACTTCATTACACTGTAAATGAAGTCAGCAAGTTACCCAAAGATTTGAGGTAAAAACCTAGCAACCTCTTTAAAATGCTGGTTTATACAAATCCTGACAACACCAAAACACCCCCTTTGATAATTCTATATACAGTGAAGCTGTGTAAAGGAAAGGTGAAGAGAAATTGAAGGCAATGTAATGGTACACTTCATCACATGTGGTCTGTAGATGTTTGGCTATACTTTGTGCTTTGCTTTAATAGACAAAAGCTGAAACTGTAGATGCATGCGACAAATAAAGAGTTTTTAACTGATCTCTGTGTTTCATATCGAGCTAATTGGTCAAGTGTGTCATGTTTGTTTGGTATTCTTTTGTGTTGAAATGTGTTTTTCAGTTTGGGCACGTCTTACTTCATGACTTAACTTCCCTCGTGAAATGGTGTAGTGTTCAGCCCATTTCCTCTTCTCTTTTTTTCCTGCACAAACACACACACATGTAGACCCACGCACACACACATATTTGTATACAGTTGAGTTCAAAATTAATCACCCCTTTGTCATTTTTTTCCTTTTTCAAATATTTCCTGAATTATTTTTAACAGAGCAAGGATTTTTTTTTGACAGTTTTCATTCATTCATTCATTTTCTTGTCGGCTTAGTCCCTTTATTAATCCGTGGTCGCCACAGCGGAAATGAACCGCCAACTTATCCAGCACATTTTTACGCAGCAGATACACTTGTGCCCAGATTAATAAAGGGACCAAGCCAAAGGAAATAAATAAATATAAAACCTTTAAAAAATACATATAATTTAAAAAAACATTACAATATTAATAACAACCAATAATATTATACAAGATTCAATCACACCCTCCTTTATCGGGTTGATGTATAATTTTTCCAACACCCCCATACAAAATAAGCAAGATTTATTATCATTGATCAATTCATAATAATTATACTCCATAAGAGAGAGGGAGAAAGTGAGCATGGGAGAGCAATGAATAGGATTACGCTGACTGAATGCGGTTGCGTCCTGTTCTGACACCTGAAATCTCTTTATCCCTTTGATGATGCTTAATACTATGACTGCTGCCAAAGCACTCGCACTCAAAACACAACAAGAAATGCAACGGTGTCATGCATCTAGTTATTTATTAAAAGCACTTAGTTCTGCACTAGTGCTATGTTAAGCGATTAGGTTTATTTCCAAGCCTTTTAGTGGACTGTTCATTCCAGGAAAGGGATTTTTTATTTTATTTTTTATTTTTGTTTTCTGAAGAGGTGATTTTTAAGCTAGATTATTGACTTTATTTTTGGTTTTAACTCTTTTTATAATCATATGTATTATTATAATCCTAAACAATAATCCCGTTTTGTATTTGCATATAATTTTACAGTTTTCAGAGCTTTTCAAAGATTGTCTAGTTATTTATTACTGTACTCTTGTACATCTTTGCAAAATAATAAGAAAGGTGATTTAACCGACATTGATTGTAGCATGGTTTTTTAGAGGTATTTGAGAAACTGACTGTAAAAATATTCATAAAATTGCATTTTTTGTTGTATTTTGTGATTTATGTTTTTATTAAAGTGCATATTCTGTGTATTATTCTGTACAAAATAAATCTGAATTTTATGGTTTATTTCCGGCACCCCAGCTGCTTAAAAAAACAGATATTAAATTACAGAAATTTCCCTAAATTTAAATTTCTGGTAAATTTCTGTAGTTCAACCTGTTATTTTACAGTAGGTTTCTGTAATTTACCTGCCATTGTTTCAATTTTTTTCCCGGCACCCAAGCTGCTGGAAATAAACCGTAAAATTACAGATTTTTATAGATTTTATAGTGTTTATAACACTTCATTGATGAACGCTACAGGCTAGCATGCTGCAGTATTAAGTATAGTAAATGGATAAACTGTAAAATATTATAGCTTTTACAACAGTAAACTGTGGTGCTTTCATTGTAGTAAAATATAATATTGGGTTATTCATTTTTCAGTTAATTTATGACCACAGCAACTGATGTAGAATTACCACAACAGTTTAATTTAATTTCTTTCAGAGGTAAAATTCAAAACACAAGTAGGCCTATTTACAATAATTATATATTATGGTTTCAAGCAAGTATTCTGATGTACAATTCAAGTCAAAATTATTGGCCCTTCTACACATTTTTTCTTTTTAAATTTTTCCCAAATATACAGAGCAAAAAAATTTTCACAGTATTTCCTATAATATTTTTTCTTCTGGAGAAAGTCTTATTTGTTTTATTTTGGCTAGAATAAAAGCATTTTTTTAATTTTTAAAACCATTTTAAGGTCAATATTTTTAGCCCCCTTAAGCAATATTTTTTTGATTGTCTACAAAACAAACCACTGTTATACAAAGACTTGCCTAATAAACCCAATTAACACCTTTAAGCCTTTAAATTGCACTTTAAGCTGAAAACTAGTGTCTTGAATTTTGTTTTTGTAAAATATTATGTACTGTCATCATGGCAAAGATAAAATAAATCAGTTAATAAAAATTAGTTATTTAAATACTCACTATTATATTTAATACTAACAATTATGCTTAAAAAGAAAAATATAATAATTCAGGAGAGCTAATCATTAACTTCCACTGTACACGGTTTACAGGGACACTACAGCCGTCCACCACTAGATGGAGGCAAAACTTAATTTTGCTTAAATGTCACCTTGCAAATGATGTATAGCGGTAATTTAGCATTCAGACAACATCAATATTATAGGTACTGATGTGTTACTGATGACGGCAACAGAAATGAATAGATCTGATTTTCCTGTGTTGCCCACACACTTGGATTGTGGTTGTGTCTCAAAACTTTTTGAGGGTATTGCTCGCGTACGTGGAGAGTGGTTCAACACAAAACACAGTCTAGAGTTAAGACAGTTAATCTAAAAAGTTTTGAGCCGCCCTTTTGCTGTGTTCAGTGTGGAAATGCGCGTGTCACGGCCGTCATCAAGCTGACACGAGGACGCGCAGAGAGGGGAACAGAAGTAATGCAATGCAGTTCTAGATTCCGGTGTGGTTTCGAAGTGTGACTAATGAAGGAAGAGAAAAACAGAAAGATGTTTGATCGGTTAAACGGTTACCTTGACACACTTCTGTCCAGAGACTCACGGTAGCCATGAATGTACTCTTAAAAATATATTGTTATTTAAGTAAACCGCTGTGTTCTGAGGAATAAATACAGGTACAGAGACGATGGACTCAGACGTCACGGAAATGATAGAAGAATTTATGGGAAGTGCACTTGTTACATGGGTAGGTGGCTAGCAAAACACTACTACACCTCTTTGATAATCTTCATTTTGGTCAGTGAAAAGTTTTGTTAACTTTATAAAGGAGTCCTTAGAAATTATTAACTGACGTTAGTTCGTTACATCTGATTAATGATAAAAATACTTATGGTGTTCCCTGGTGAAAATGTAATAATAGACTGTTAAAGTATTTTGAAACATGGTAAACATCATGATCCAGCAACAAAACTCTCGAGTCTTCATTTTTGAACCTGTAAATCCAGTTACCATGCTTCAAACTAAGCACACGTTTTATTTTTTATGATGTCTTTGTAATTTTAAATTAAATTTAAGAACGTTTGACAACCCACTTCATAGTAAATACTACAGTATTTTCGAACCATATCATGGTAGTGTATTATACCTTAGGCATATAATATTTACAACTCATTGTTGACGAATGCTACAGCATACTGTAATTTTAACTACAGTAGACTGATAAACTCAAATATATAGTAGTATACATTAGAGTTTTTACTAGAGTAAACTGTTGTGTATTGTGGTATAATATGTATGTATGTATGTATAATATTTATAATATTATAATAATATTTTTCTTTCTTATTATGTTTTATTTCAGCTAGAATAAAAGCAGTTTGTATTTTTTTCACAACCATTTTAAGGTCAAAATTATTAGCCCCTTTAAGCTATATATTTTTATCAATAGTCAACAACAAACCATCATTTTACAATGACTATATATATATATATATATATATATATATATATATATATATATATATATATATATATATATATATATATATATATATAGTTCATTCATTCATTTTCTTTTCTGGTTTAGTCCCTTTATTAATCTGGGGTTGCCACAGCGGAATGAACCGCCAACTTATCCAGCATGTTTTTTACCCAGCGGATGCCCTTCCAGCCGCAACCCATCTCTGGGAAACATCCACACACTCATTCACACACACACACACACACACACACACACACACACACACACACACACACACACACACACACACACACACACACACTCATAAACTACGGACAATTTAGCCTACCCAATTCATGTGTACCACATGTCTTTGGACTGTGGGGGAAACCAAAGCACTAAGGGGAAACTCACGCGAACGCAGGAAGAACATGCAAACTCCACACAGAAACGCTAACTGACCCACGCTAAGTCTGCGGGTTTACATACTTTGTAGAAACATACATTGTAGAAATTTTGTGAATTAATTTGCACAACCCAAAATAAACTATGATAATCAAAAGGATATAAGTTGGCTCTCTATAAAACTAAATTGATTATTTGACAAAATTAATATATTTATTGATCATACACACACACACACACACACACACACACACACACACACACACACACACACACACACACACACACATATATATATATATATATATATATATATATATATATATATATATATATATATATATATAGTGAAAACTCTCATACTATTGTAGTTGTTTTACCATAACCACAATAGAATTACCATAACAGATAAATTCATGTACTTTACTATAGTGTGGTTGAAAGAAAAGTGTTTACTATAAACTATAAATTACTATTGTATGTTTTCTTGTTGGAGCAACTGAAGTAAACTTAATGTAAGCATTGACAACAGAGCACAGAATCTTGATGTGAACAGAGTGTTTATGATTTAAGGTGCATCTGTTTGAGGGTATTGTCGGTGAGGAAGAGGATGGATCACTCTTTCCGGAATACATGGAAGTAAACATCAGCTCCCAGAATGCAGTAAGGCAGTACCTGACGCTCACCAATGGAGTTTACCTCAATGAGGTCATGAGGATCATGTAAGACGGACTCGTTGTAAAAATAGAAAACATTTCCTCAGTTTTGTTTTTATATAATGTTGTTAAAAAGAAAGCTATCATTGATTACAGTTCAACAGTGACTCGTCATCTAATGGCAACATTTTTTGTTGTTTGTTTGGGTTTTTTATTCAGTGATCCCAATCCAAAGGTAGAACAAATCTACCACAATGTGGGCGACGACAAGATTCGCAGAGTGCAGAACTTTTCCATCCTCAATCGCCACTTAAGATCTTACTATCAGGTACTGAAGTAACATATCAGTCATATTATTATGTGACATTATGTCTATGTATCCAGTACATTTCACTATTATATTATATTATATTATATTATATTATATTATATTATATTATATTATATTATATTATATTATATTATATTATTTTATATTATATTATATTAAATTATATTATTTTATATTAAATTATATTATATTATATTATATTATAATATTTTATATTAAATTATATTATATTATATTATATTATATTATATTATATTATATTATATTATATTATATTATTTTATATTAAATTATATTATATTATATTATATTATTTTACTTTATATTATATTAAATTATATTATTTTATATTAAATTATATTATATTATATTACTTTATATTAAATTATTTTATATTATATTATATTACATAATATTATTTTACATTAAATTAAATTAAATTATATTATATTATATTATATTATATTATATTATATTATATTATATTACATAATATTATTTTATATTAAATTATATTATATTATATTATATTATATTATATTATATTATATTATATTATATTATATTATTGGCTTCTGTTGGTATAAAATTTTCTCGTTGAGATTAATTGCTTTAAAATTGCAATTAATTACCGTATTATCACAATATTGAACTAAGTTGCTGGAATACTTATCCCCAAAATACTTAGTGTATTGGTTTATTGTATATACATTTTCAGAGTAAATGAATGTTTTAAACTAACTAAATTGCAAAAATATGAGAAAGTACAACACTGTAGGTATCACTTCACAATAAACTCACAATAAAATCAACATTGAGTTATAGTCATATTGCAGTTATATGTTAAAGTTATTAAATTAAATCAACTTAATTTCATTAGTTATTAACTCCATTTAATAAAACAATTGCAACTCTTTACTTTAGTCTTCACATCAGTAAACCATCAGCCATTTTATAGTTACATGTTGAAGTCAATAACTTTTAATAGCTTAATTTTTTTAGTTATAAACTCCATTTAAGTAAATGATTTCAACTTTTGACCTTAATGTGTTGTTATCCGTTAATAAAAATAAATGAACAAAATTTAGATTAAAATTCATAAAACATTTTGTAGTTGTCATTATAATGACTTAACTGATGCTAACAAATGGAGCCTTTTTAAGGAAATAATTGAGAATTTTTTAAAGTATACAACAGTCTGAACATTCTTAATAGCCACTCTAAAGGTTTATAGTATAAATATTTTTTTACAGTATTTTAAAGTGCCAAAGGTATCAGTATTGTGCTTGTTCATTATCAAGAAAATTTAATTTAATTTAATTTAATTTAATTTAATTTAATTTAATTTAATTTTATTTTATTTTATTTTATTTTATTTTATTTTATTTTCCTTAATTTTACTTTATTTTATTTAATTCTTTGTAAAAGTGTCTAGACCTCTAAAAAAGTGTCTAGTCTTGACCTGATGATGCATGGTATATAAATGGACAGTTCACTAACTCATAAACAGCATGTTGCTGTTGAACAAGTTAGCCATGTTTGTTTTTTTGGTTTCTGTGGTTTCACTTCTTGTTTCAAATGTCCTAGTTGTAGACATGTTTCTTTGAGCTGTTATTTTCACACAAAGCAAGTGGCAATGACTATATTTTGGTTTCCGGACATTTTAAAATTAAAATATCAGCTTAAAGCATTGACAGATTGTAGATAATAATGATAATAAAAAATAATAACAATAGAAAACCCTTAAAAGTATGTTTATATATTGTCCTGCATTATCTAGATTTCTGATCAGCTTAAAAAGGGCTCACACAGTGGTTGCTTAATGATTGAGGAGCTGATTAATAATTACACTGAATAAAGGCAGGTGACGGATACATTTCTGTGTAAATGCAAGGGAAATATTGTGATGTAGCCACTGTTTCTATGGTTTATTATCACAGTTAAAAAAACATATGAATTAAAATTCAACTAAAATATTAATTTTAATGGAACTAAAGATGTTGTTAACAGTTAGCTAAAATAAAATATTTCAAAGCAATTTTCTAGTACTTTGCTGTGAGCAGTGGCGCCCCCAGAAAATTTTCTTGGTGGTGGCCAGATGAGGCCACACCAAATCTTGGGGTGACACACAAACACAAAAAAAAATAAATTAAATAAAAAATTCAGTGTAATGTTATATTTTTGTTTTTAGTAAATTAAACAATGTTGTTTTAATGAATTGATCATAAAATATTTAAATTATTACTAAATATTAATACTATATAGTATTACTTAAAATAATGATGATAAATTAATTAGTTAATTAATAACAACCTGAACAAAAGTCTTTGCTGTATACACACACTTACCATACAGACCCTGATAATATAGTTCATCCATATTTCATTTTGAGCTACAATATAATCAATACAGCTTCTTAAATTGATGTTTGCTACAAAATCATTGAAATTTTGGCCTTTGTAAGTCAACCAGCCAAAATATTGAGGTGCTAAACAATTCTGAAAAGCTGATTTGAAAACGCATTTATTTATTTTTTTGGTTTTTGGTTTTCAATTGGATAAAATACAATGTTTTAATTTTAAAAATAATAATTTATTCATAAAAAGTGTACAATCTCATGAACCCAAAGTTATGTTTCGTCTCTCGTCATTAATCAATACTAATCAAATTATTAGAACTTCACTGATCCTTGAGAATTTTGAGCCTTGTTAAGTAACGGTAATATGTTTAGTTTTTAACTAGAAAGGTTAACAAAAGACAAATGTATGACACATATCCGTTGTTGTTTCTTAAAAAAATTGCCATTGTTGTCTATTGAAGGTGTGTGCGTGCTGTCAATGACAGTGGCTGCATTTTATTTTTTATTTATTGAAATATTGTTAATTTACAAAATTACATTTACATTAATAATATCAACAGCAAAATCATATTGGGGTGGCCAGAGGTTACACGGGGTGGCCAGAGGTTACACAGGGGTGGCTCCTGGCTGTGAGGTTGAATTTATTATAAGTTCATTTATTAAAAACAAACTAACAATGAACAATACTTTCATAGCATTCATTAGTCTTAGTTGATGTCTTCATTTATTAAAATATTGCTAAACCCTGAACAAAGTTGTCATTTTTAAACATGTCTGTACATTGCAATGAACTGTTTTTATATTTACTAACATTAAAAGGTAAAACAAAACAGGTTTGCATCAACTTTAGAGTAAGTAAATTTTTATTTATGGTAAAAGCTGTCCTTTTTAATCATCTTCTATCCTTAAACAATGATAAAAAATGCTCCTTAAGTCATGTTAATTATTGATTTAACTTTAAAGTTACGAGACCTTATTGTAAAGGATTACTATAAAATCTGTTATAGTGTTATATAGTTTTTCATATACAGTTGGAGTTATTAGGTCACCTTTAAATTTTTTAAATATTTCCCAAATTATGTTTAACAAAGCAAGGAAATTTTCACAGTATGTCTGATAATATTTTTTTCTTCTGGAGAAAGTCTTATTTGCTTTATTTTGGCCAGAATAAAAAAGTTATAGTTTTTTAAACACAATTTTAAGGTCAATATTATTTGCCCCTTTAACCTATATATTTTTTTCGATAGTCACAGAACAAACCACAGTATGCATTAACTTGCCTAATTACCCTTGCCTGCCTAGTTAACCTAATTAACCCAGTTAAGCCTTTAAATAACACTTTAAGCTGTATAGAAGTGAAAAATATCTAGTCAAATATTATTTATTTTATTTATTTATTCATCATGGCAAGGATAAAATAAATCAGTCATTAGAAATGAGTTACTAAAACTATTATGATTAGACATGTGTTGAAAAAATCTTCTCCGTTAAACAGAAATTGGAAAAAACAAACAAACAGGGGGGCTAATAACTCAGGAGGGCTAATAATTCTGACTTCAACTGTATATCTTTTATATATACTATTTTATATATTTATATTTAAATATATTGTGCTAAATAAACTAAAGCTCAATTAAAATGATAAATATTAGAGTCAATCTTCAACCAAACATCAACTAAAAATGTAAAAAGGTGCTAACTTTAACTAACTGAAACAGTGTACTGAATGACTAAAAATAATAAATTAAACTAATATTAGTAGGTTCCCAGAGATGGGTTGCGGCTGTAAGGGCGCCCGCTGCATAAAAACTTGTTGGATAAGTTGGCGGTTCATTCCCCTGTGGCGACCCTAAATTAATAAAGGGACTTAGCCGACAAGAAAATGAATGAATGAATGAATGAATGAATATTAGTAGGGGCAGCACAGTGGCTCAGTGGTTAGCACTGTCGCCTCACAATAAGAAGGTCACTGGTTTGAGTCCCGGCTGGGTCAGTTGGCATTTCTGTGTGGAGTTTGCATGTTCTCCCCGTGTTGGTGTGGGTTTCCACCGGGTGCTCCGGTTTCCCCCACATTCCAAACACATGCTCTATAGGTGAATTGAATGAACTAAATTAGCAGTAGTGTATGAGTGGTGTGTGAATGCGAGTGTTTAAGTGTTTCCCAGAGCCAGGTTGTGGCTGGAAGGGCATCCGCTGAGTAAGACATGTCGGTAAAGTTGTTGGTTCATTCCACTGTGGTGACCCCTGATAAATAAGGGACTAAGCCCAATGAAAATGAATAAATGAATGAATATTAGTAATTGATATTAATACGTTTATTGTTTGTATACCAATGTTTATTATTTTTTTCTTGTGTGTGTGGATGTATGCAGGTTGGTTTAATTAAATTAAATTAAATGTAATATCTTTGTTTGCTTATGAGTACAAATTTAATTTACTTGAAATGATTTTGCGATATAGATTTAGCCTTTTCTTTTCATTTTTATTACTTTATTTAAATGTATTTTACTTTATTTGAGGTATAAATGTAAAATCTGCAATAATTTAACTTTGTTATTGCTATGCAGGAAATTAAATAAACCTCATACTCAAGTAAATGAAAACAAATAGATTAAAACATTGTCGTACCATGGTAGTACATGCTTTCATTGTATTCAAAATGGCCTGGAATCCTGTAAAAATACACACAATTTAGTATCAGCATATTTATCACCATTTCATGTAACAATAAATTCGGTGAGGATGAACATTTTTTAAAAGCATAACTAAACTGGCTACTGCAATAACAGGATCATTAATCAGACTGAATTAGATGCTTATTGGTGCAGATTAAAAAGCCTATTTCCACAGTCTTGCTTGTTTTCTTTGACCGCATATCACTTTACATGAATACCGTTCCTCTTAATCCTCTTAATTGAGCATTGTCTGCGAGGACAGAAATGCACAAATGAGGGATTTAATGCTTGTCATTTCTTCCATGCTTGTTTCTCTTTCAGGAGAATCTACAGCAGCTGGTGCTGATGCCGCTGCCAAATGTTGCTGTTTTAGGTCGAGATCCCCTGACAGGTGCGAAATCTGTCATGTGAATAATAAAACATTTTTCCCTTTTTAATTATTATTACATAGAAACCATCCAATAAAAAAAAACAAAAAAAACACATTTATGCATTAGAAGGCAAAATTATAAAGTTTTCAGCATTTTTTTAAGTATATTCCAATATTGCTATTGATTTGTAACAGAGCCAGGAATTTTTTTTACTGTATTTTTAATTACATTTCTATAATATTGATTAATAATAATAATAATAATAATAATATACATTTAAACAATAATATTATTAGTTTATTTGTCATATGAATAATAGGACATTTTTCCCTATTTAATTATAATTACATAAAAAGTATTTAAAAATCACATTTATGCAGTAGGAGGCACAATCATGAAATGTTATGAAATTTAAAAAAATATATTCCAATATTGATTTGATCTTTAATGGAGCAGAGAATTGTTCACTGTATTTTTAATTATATTATAAAAATATTAATTGTTAATAATACATACATTTAAATAATAATATAATTAGATAATTCCATTTCTTTTATATTAATATTTTATATCAAAAATATATTTGAATATTAATTTATTATATTATTATGTATTATTTATGTATAGTTTATTTATTGTATTATTATATTATGAATTTATTATATGAGAATTATTTTCTCTAATATTTAATAATATTTAATCTAATTTTTATTTCATATTTAATCATTTTATTTATATATTTTTTATGGTTTGGCTTAGATGAAAGTGTTTTATTTTAATTTTTGAAAACAATCCTTAAATTCAGTATTTTTATTCCCCTTAAGATTTTATTTATAATTTAAATAGTTATCCTACCTTGCCTGGTTAACCTAATTAAGTCTTAAATTTACACTTTAAGCAGAATACTAGTAGCTCACAAAATAACTAGTAAAATATGATGTACTGTCATCATTGCAAAGACAAAATAAATGAGCTATAAGATATTAGTTATTAAAACTATTATGTTTTGAAATGTTTTGATTAAATAAACAGCACTTGGGAAGTATTTTAATATTTAATATTTTGGCTAACAAGGCTAATAATTAAAGCTCTTTATTTAACCTTCAAATTACAAACAGGCATTTTTTTAACTTCCATTTTTAAACATACAGTTGAATTATTAGCCCCCCTTTAAATTATTATTTTTGTTTTTTAAAATTTTTTCCAAATGATGTTTAACAGAGCAAGGAAATCTTCACATTATGTCTGATAATATTTTGTCTTCTGGAGAAGTTCTTATTTGTTTTATTTCGGCTAAAATAAAATCAGTTTTTCATTTTTTAAAATCCATTTTAAGGTCAAAATTATTAGCCCCTTTAAGCTTTATTATTTTCAATAGTCTACAGAACAAGCCATCGTTATACAATAACTTGCTTAATTACCCTAACCTGCCTAATTAACTTAATTAACCCAATTAAACCTTTAAATGTCACTTCTAGCTGTATAGAAATATCCTGAAAAATTTCTATTTAAATATTATTTACTGTCATCATGGCAAAGATAAAATAAATCAGCTATTAGAGATGAGTTTTTAAAGCTATTATATTTAGAAATGTGCTGAAAAAGTCTTCTCTTCGTTAAACAGATATTGGGGAAAAAAATAAACAGGGGGTTAATAATTCTGACTTCAACTGTATATAACATATCCAAGAAGCATAATAAACAAAATAGTACAAAATAATAAGAACATAAATAAAACCTTAAATCAAACTAATACAAATGAAAGTACATTCAGGGCGGTCAATCCATATAAGCGGACAAGGGTTTAGAGCAGTGGTTCTCAAAGTGGGGGTTGGGACCCCTCGGGGGGTCTCGAGACAGGGTGGTTAACATGTTAATAATAATAAAAAAAAAAAAAAACATGCAACTAAAAAGCCATCAGCCTTCCAAAATGTTTTGTTTTTGCGAGCCCAGGGGTGATTGCATTATATTAAAGACACAGCAATAGTGTCAGACATTGATTTTATGGCACCAGGTTAAACTTTCTGACACCTAAACGGCATTAAAATAAATACAGACCACAACTGAACATAGAGGATGGTCTCCGAGGGGCGTTCTCCAAAAATAAACAATAAATAGACTTGGGCCTATTGGTATGATTCATATATAATCACTTGAGACGATATTCGGGGTTGTGAGTAACTGGTATTGTTATTTTGGGAGTCGCAGGCTAAAAAGTTTAAGAACTACTGGTTTAGAGAACTTTAAGGCACTTTTTGTTTTTATTTGTTTTATGAACTTAAATAAAACTGTAACAGGGCTTTAACAAATCTACATTTGTGTATATAAAACTTGCTGCAATCAGCATATAATTGCACAAATATTCTATTTCATTGTTAGGCTAATTTAGTCTTCAACTGTAAGCAAATATGCTGTTTTATTGTCAACAGAGGGCGCTGTTGCAGAGCTCAGAAGACTTCTACTCTTATTACTGGGCTGTGCAGTACAGGTAAATAACCACTGTCAACACTTTTAATATCTTTAATGGAGAGTTTCAACACTGTTAAATGAATTGGAGTGTAATGCTGGAAAACATATGGATGCTTACAGTGTGTGATTGATTTTCTTTCTCTTCGTATGACCCTTTGTCACCAGTGTGAAAGGAAAGAAACGTTCATTCAGCAGATTCAGTGCTTGGACATTGATACACAAGCAGAGATCGCGTTGTGCATACAAGAGGTCAGTGCATTTCTTTCTAAAGTTAACTTGAATGTATCTTGTATGTTTTGGTGTGTAAATGAAAGGTTGACATTTTTATGGAATTGAGGGCGTCACAATGGCGCAGTGAATATTATGATCGCCACACAGCAAGAATGTTGCTGGATCAAGCCTCAGCTGGATCAGTTGGCATTTCTGTGCGGAGTTTGCATGTTCTCCCTGTGTTGGCGTGGGTTTCCACCAGGTGCTCTAATTTCCCCCACAAGTCCAAGGACATGTCATATAGGTGAATTGGGTAAGCTAAATTGTCCGTAGTGTATGTGTGTGTGTGAGTGTGTATGGATGTTTTCCAGAGATGGGTTGCAGCTGCAGGGGTTAAGCTGGATAAGTTGGCGGTTCATTCCGCTGTGGCAACCCCAGATTAATAAAGGGACTAAGCCAAAAAGAAAATGAATGAATGAATGTATGGAATTGCTCTACCTGCTTTTTAAAAATTATTTATACACAAAAAAATGTTGGGTTGTTTTAACTCAGCTTTGGGTTAAATATGGACAAACCTAACTTTAGGTTAAAACAACCTTGCATTTATTAGAGTGCATCCTGTATAAGTTGCTTACATTATGCATTTTTTTTTAATAATACAGCACATCTTTGTGACTTTTGAGTATTAAACAGATTCATGAATAAATCAATATCATACACCGATATCTTATTCTGGTCAGTTGGCATTTCTGTGTGGAGTTTGCATGTTCTCCCCGTGTTGGGGTGGGTTTCCTCCGGGTGCTCCGGTTTACCCCACTGTCCAAAGACATGCTCTACATGAATTGGATGAACTAAATTGCTAGTGTGTGTGTGTGTGTGTGTGTGTGTGTGTGTGTGTGTGTGTGTGTGTGTATGTGTATGTGTGTGTGTGTGTGTGAATGTGAGAGTTTATGGGTGTTTCCCAGTACTAGGTTGCAGTTGGAAGGGCATCCGATGCGTAAAATATATGTAAAATATATAAATATAAAACGGATTAGTTGCCGGTTCATTCCACTGTGGCGACCCCTGATAAATAAGGAACTAAGCTGAATGAAAATGAATGAATGAATGAATATTTATCAGCACTGTTGAAGACTGAGTTAGTGATTGTGAGCACTTGACAAAACAGTGTTTCTTATTTTGCGATGCCTCTTTTAATGCCTCTGATTGGCTGCTGTAAAACAGGTGTGGCTGGTTATAAAGTTAGAAATGTAAAAAAAAAATGATAAGGTAATAGCATATTTATTTATTTTGATTTAGCTTCAGTTTCCGTAATAAGTTTATTTTCATTTTACAGAAGTATTTTTGTATTTAAATTGCAAGCCCCATATATATGTCTAGCTGGGTTTCTATCAGACTGTGTTAATGCACATTTTAAATCATGAGAAACGAGTGATGAAATGGCAAATTTTGAATTAAGTTAGCAAATTTGCAGAAAAAGTTTTTTTAAACTTGAGGATGTTTTGGATTTGTGTAAAAATGGTTAATGCAGATAATAGGAAATGGAAACACACTGGGCTAAACTCTGACGTAACAAACATTATTCCCACATCAGTGTTTCCTTTAGGATTTTTTCCAGCTGTGGCGGCAGGCCTTTTTTACACAGATCTACCAACTATCTGTAGCGTTATTTCAATGATAAATGTCTTGAGCGCAGTATTAAGTCGAGATTGAATTTATGTAATAGCCTACGAGCTTGCAAATCTCTTTGCTTGCGCACCGATGTCTTACGCATCACGCACCTGTCAGTCAGCCAGTCAGTCAGTCAGTCAGCACGTAACCTTAAAGGGTTAAACAAATGACGCACAGCACTAATATGGTTACAGAGAAGTTCGCACTGTTATAATTTACTTACCTTTTAATAAGTCTTGGTGCGATTATCACCCGCTATTAAAAAAAAAAACACGAATAAATGTTTTGAATAGAAAGCTGTAATGTGGCCGTAGCATGATCAATTTTGGCGTGGCGCCCTGCCATGGAAGAATGAATGTAGCGGACACCATGCACATGACCAATCCGCGGTTTATTTTATGCTTACCTTTTTTACTGTTGGTTACTAGGTTACCAATACTACGGTGAGCCACTCTGACAATTTGATGGAAACACATCTGACTTTCATTTTGTATTTATTAATGTATTTTATTGCGAAATTTGAAAAGATTTGCTTCACGTTAAGGCTAATGTATACTTCTGCGTCTAGTGATAGGTGTGACCCACAGCGCATGCCTTGTGTGCGTAACTGTGCATTTATACTTCTGCGTGCTGTTTGTGTTGCACTGCAATAACACTTTTGATGCACTAGCTCACAGTAGTTTGTTCCTTTGTGTTGAGTTTCTTCGTGGCTGTTTGTTTTTTATGATTAGCGATGGCATCAACCACTGCGAGGGCTATGTTAACGCGCATAGGCACGCTTGATGCAGAAGTATAAATCAGCCTTTAGAGTGGTAACTCGATTATAGAGAACAGCTTCTTGTCTTTTGTAATTTTACAGATCATTTTCATGCTTAAACTCAGCCATGCACACACTCAAAAAATTAGGTTTGCTGTTTGTTCAAACTACTTATTTAAAATGAGCTGAAACAACACATTTTTTAGTTTTTTTGGCGACAACTTAATTGTTTTACATTTACAATCAACTTAAATCTGTAAAAACTTATAAGCTAACTTAATTCCTTGATGTCGTTCCAACACAAATCGATTGTGTGGAACTCAACATTTAACGTAACCATTTACCATTGTAACGTAAGGTCATTCATTTTCCTTCAGCTTAGTCCCTTTATTCATCAGGGGTTTTATTCATCATATGTTTTACACAGCAGATGCCCTTCCAGTTGCAACCGAGTACTGGGAAACACCCATACACTCTCATTCACACATACTCATACACTACGGAAAATTTAGTCCCTGGAGGAAACCCACGTAAACACGGGGAGAACATGCAGAATCCACACAGAAATGCCAACTGATCCAGCTGAGGCTTAATCTAGCAACATTCTTGTTGTGAGGCGATCATAATACTCACTGCGATATTGTGACGCCCTCTACTCCATACAAATGTCAACATTTTCATTAAAAAACCAAAACATAAAATACAAACCCAGCTGGGGCTCTGACCAGCGACCTTCTTGCTGTGTAGTGATAGTGTTAACCACTGAGACACTGTCGCCTTTAATGTAAGTTGAAAGTGTAAAAAGCAAAAATATGACCACTTTAAATGACTTTTACCATCAAATTTAAACACATCTAAATCACATTATGGATTTCTTTTCTTTTGTTGCAAACCTTGAAAAGATTCACTTCACATTAAGATGAAAACTCGGCTAGTGTACGCTTGTGATCTATCAAATCAGTTTCATTGTCACATCATCAGCAGCACGTGTGCTATGATGAGTGAAAAGCTTAGGTGCTTGCTCCAGACCAGGGGTCACCAACATGGTGCCCGCGGGCACCAGGTAGCCCGAGAGGATCACATGTGTTGCCCGCAGGTCTGTTCTAAAAATAGCATTGCATTGGTGTAAATTTGAGTAATATAAAGAAACTTTTTAAAATATTTCATATCAAATCAAAGCTAGCTGGTCTCCACAGCAATGGTTGCGGGTGCAGTAAAGAGGAGAAGATGGTATGAAAACATGGCAAAAAAACATAGTTTTTACAGTGAATAGGAAGAGAAGTTCTATATACAATATTGAGAGACATTTCAGAATGTGTCTCACAAGCTAATCTTACCATGCTAACCCACACCAGGCAGCGCACTACAAGTGGAAAAAGTCTGAAAGGTTTGTGAAAACAGCAGTGTTTTTTCACAAGGTGAAAACCTCACAAACAGCAACCGAAACCTCATTTAGAGCTACACATTTTTTATAAAAAAAACAAGGCATTTTTAGACAGGAAAGCAAACCTGTGCTTAAAGACGAGAATGGATGTAATCTCCACTCTCTCCGATGTCCAACTCGGGGTAACTACAATGGTTAGAAGAGTGTCGGCTATGTTAAAAATGCAGTAGATTTGGTGATAATTTCAGTAAAATCTGAATGTTGATTTATGTTACACAATTGATAATCTGTACAAACATGGAACAAGGTAGTGCATGATTTGTTAAAAATCGCTAGTGGCTAATGAAAACCTTGTAGAAGTGATCATTTAAACATGTAAATACTTGCAGAGATATATAAAAATAAAGTGTTGCACATTGATGCATTAAACACAGGGTATTTTCTACCCTGTTAAATCATTGTTGATAACTTTTGTGAGAATCATTAACATGATCAGTGTCTTCACATAGATGAATATTATTAATTATTACCAATAACAAAGTATAATTAAAAGTAAATTGAGCAAATTTGTTATTTGAGAAGTGTTAATCAAACTGGTAGCCCTCCACATTAATCCGTACCCAAGAAGTAGCTCTCAGTTTCATAAAAGTTGGTGACCCCTGCTCCAGACAGTACAAAATGCAAAATACAGAGAGTGCAAATACAACGGCATACTCCCAAAAAAAAAAACAGGACAATGTCAAATTGACAGCGATATGTACAATGAATAGGTGTCCACATAGTTGTAGGCAGTATTGTTTCAAGTATGGATTGATTAAGTGCAGTGCATGCTACATATTGATGGTGTGCAGTGAGGGGTATGGAGGAGTCTGTGTGGGGTGCGTTAACTGTTCATCAGCCTGATAGTCTGAGGGAAGAAGCTTTCCTTCAGCCAGCTAGTACGTGACCGGATGCTGCGGAACTGTCTGCCTGAGATCATGCATCATCCATCGTGCAGTTTTTACCACTAAAGTCTGTTTGAGTTTGAAAACAGGAATGCTGGGTTTTTCAGGTAATAATCCTGTAGATGTGGCCTTCTGTTTTATTTATAAACGTAGACTGTTTAAAATAACCCCATCTTCCAGTTTCCCAAGATATTGGTGGTGCTCTTCAAATCTATGAAAAACTATTAAGAACAAAGCCCTTAGGCTATATAAACATTTAGAGGTATATTTTGTTGATTTATCCTCGTGTCATTTTCTTTCATTTTCACACCCACTGAGACAGAGAGAGAGAGATTGAAAATAGCATACGTTTTAATTGGTTGCGATAAAAAATCAGACGTAGTGCCAAATACACTGATTTTTTAATTTTTATAAAGTTCAAACATTGGTTTTGTGTTGTCTAAAGATTCGTATAAACACATTTTTATTTCATGCTAAAATGTACTTTTATCTTACATTTTAAAAGAAGAAATGTCATCATTAGTTTCCATAGCTGTACATATAAATTATAGTTATTTTCCCTCCCGTGTAATTTTATATTCTCTTTTAACTATTCCCCAAGTGATTTTTAACAAAATATGTTAATTTTCACAGTATTTCCTATAATTTTTTCAATCTCAAAGTTTTATTTCATTTAGTTTGGCTGAAATAATATTAAAAAGATATATTTTAAGGTCAATTTTAGGGCTTCACAATATATTGTTTTTCATAAGTTTAACAAAGATTACTTGTATTTAATTATTTACACAATTTTACATGATTATTGAATTTCTCTCCATGAATATTGTTTGATTCCACAGAAAACCATGAAGCATTGTTTATTTCACTTGTATTTTTATATATTGTATTCATCATTTGTTATTTATGAATTCTTCCCAAATAGAGTTCTATATCATCTCATCAAAATATATTAATATTGCAATATAGCGCAAATAAATAAAACATTGCAATGTCAGTTTTTCCAATATCGTGCAGCCTTAGTTAATATTATCAGCCTCTTAGGAAATAATTTTTTTAATCGGCTAAATGACAAACCAATCTTTTCTAATGACATGCCTAAATAAACATAGTTGACCTAATTAATCCTTTAAGTTGCACTTTAAGCTGAATAGTGTACTAGTATCATGCAAAATAACTAGTAAAATAGTATGTACTGTCATCTGGACAAAGACAAAAGAAATTAGGTATTAGAAATTAGTCATTAAAAATGTTATGTTTAAAAATGATTTTCTTGTCTCTGTTAAACAGCACATAAAACTAATTTAAAAAGAGTACATTTTTTACAGGAGGGCTAATATTTTGACTGGGTCCCAACACAAATCGATTAAGTTAACATAATCATTTTCACTCATTCATTTACCTTCAGCTTAGTCCCTTATTTATCAGGGGTTTCCACAGCAGAATGAACCGCCAACTATTCCAGCATGTTTCACGCAGCGGATGCCCTTCCAGCCACAACACAGCCCTGAAAAAGACCCATAGACTCTTATTCACACATACTCATACATTAATCAATTTTGTTTATCCAATTCACTTATACCACATGTCTTTTGACTGTAGTGGAAACCGGAGCACCTGGAGGAAACCCACACAACATGTGGAGAACATGCTAACTCCACACAGAGATGTCAACTGGTTCACTTGGGACTCGAATCAGTGACCTTCTTGCTGGAAAGCACAGGTGTCAAATGCAGCTCCTGGAGAGCTGCAGCTCTGCACAGTTTAGCTTTAACCCTAATTAAACACACCTGTTCAAACTAATTGAGTCCTTCAGGCTTGTTTGAAACCTACAGGTAGGTGTGTTGAAGCAGGGTTGGAACTAAAGTGTGCTGAGCAGCAGCCACCATGCCACCCGTAATCGTTTTTACAAATTTAAGTGGATTGAACATAAAACAATTAGGTTTCCCCCCCCCAAAAAAACCTTAAGAATTGAAGTTGCTTTAACTCATTTTACATAAGTAGTTTAAACAAGCAGCAGAATAATTTTTTTCAGTGTGTATATGCCTAAATCATACCTTTTGATCATTAGGTGACCCAGGACCGAAGTGCAGTCCTTCCTCTGGAGTTTGGAGATCTGTGTGGACTGAACGGAGCCGAGCTGCAGATTCTTTTCTGCTCAATGGCCAAACAGATCCAGAACCTGCTAGCCCAAAGAGACACACAGCTGGAGGTCAGAGAACAACTGATCTTCACAATCTGGCATTTTCATATGCAAGTAGGTGAGATCTGATTTTTGCTTTTGAATGTCGTGTCTGATATTTAGAGGATAGCAGAGCTTTGTCAGGAACAGGAGTCATCTGTAAATCATATAAACACATCGAGCGGGTTTGGAGATGGATCTCCTGAAGGACTGGCCTTTCAGCTGGCGGAGAGCAAAGCTAAACTACGGCGACTCAAGCAGGAGCTGTGAGTTTATTTTTATAATGGTTTATGTCAGTGTTTCTCAACCACGTTCCTGGAGAACCATTTTCCATGTCTCCTTAATCAAACACACCTGATTCCGATCATTAGCACAGACTGAAAGACTTGTGTGATAGATGAAAGAGACATTTAAAACAAGCAGTGTTGGTTGTCCTACAGGAACATGGTTGAAAAACACTGTTTTTTTATGAAGATATGTGTCAGTATTTTATTTTTATTTTTTTCAGCCAGGATGCAGTAAATGGATCAAAAGAGACATAAAAGCAAAGATTTCTATAATCTACAAAATCTAAATCAACTATTTAATCAAAATATTTAATTAAAATATATTTTTTAAATAAATGCCGTTTTTCTGAGCCTTTTTAATTCGTTCAAGTATCTTGCATAAAGTTGCAACACAATTTTAAATTTATTAATTTGTTTTTTATTTATTGAGCAACCAATCAGCATATTTGAATAATGTCTGTTGGACCACGTGGAGCTGAAGACTGGAGTGTTGCTGAAATTCAGCATTACATTAGAGGAAATAATTTTATTAAAATTAAATTAATTAAATCATATATATACACAGTTGAAGTCAGAATTATTAACCCTCTTGTGGTTTTTCCTTTTTTTTTTTAATATTTCCCAAATGGTGATTAACAGAGCAAGGAATTTTTCACAGTATTTCCTATCATAACTAACAAAATACGATGTACTGTCATCATGGCAAAGAGAAATCAGTCATTAAAAAAGTGGTTTTTAAAGGGCACCTATGATGAAAATAATCTTTTGTTAGCTGTTTGGACAGAACTGTGTGCAGGTATAGTGTAGGGTTGGGCGATGTCGAAAAATTTGGCATCGTACGATGTCTAATAATAATAATAATGCATTTTATTTAAAGGTGCCTTTCATTACACTCAAGGTCACCGCACAGGGCAGCTAGAACAATCAGCTCAAATAAAAACACAATAAAAGTCAATAGAATACAATACAAACTTTAAAAAGTGCAGTTGGGTTAAAGAGAATAAGCTGTTCTAAACAGATGCGTTTTGAGTTTGGATTTAAATTGTAAAAGAGAGTCTAAATTACGGAGATCAGGAGGAAGTGTATTCCAAAGCTGAGGAGCAGAGTGGCTGAAGGATCTGCTCCCCATGGTGACAAGGCGGACAGAGGGAACAGTGAGGTGAATGGAAGAAGAAGACCTGAGTGTTCGAGAAGGTGTGGCGATATGAACGAGATTAGCAAGGTATGGAGGAGCGAGATTGTGGATGGCTTTAAAAGTAAGAAGAAGTATTTTATAATTGATTCTGAAAAAGATGGCAAGCCAGTGAAGCTGTTGTAGAATGGGTGTGATGTGACAGATAGAGGGAGTTTTTGTGATAATACGGGCTGCAGCGTTTTGTACCAGTTGTGATTTGTGAAGAGTTTTTTTTAAGGAGGCCAAGCAGAAAGGAATTACAGTAGTTCAAACGGTATGCGACTAAACTATGAACAAGAATGGCAGCTGAATGAGGTGTGAGGGAAGGACGTAAACGATTTATATTTCGAAGGTGGAAATAAACGGACCGGGTGACATTATTAACATGTGCAGTGAATGAAAGGGTGCAGTTTAAGATGACCCCCAGACTCTTAACCTGAAGGGAGTGGGTAATGACAGAATCATCAGTGGGAATAGAATAGTTAAGTGATTTGTTTAAAGTGGATCGTGTACCTATAAGTAGAGGTTCGGTTTTATTGTCATTTAATTTCAGGAAGATTGTGGTGATTTACATCTTGTAAAAGGGGTAAAATTGGTGCTCTTTTAAACTATTACGTTTAGAAAGCTAAAAAACTTCTCTCCATTAAACAGAAATTGGGGAAAAATATATCGGGGGGGTGGGGTTGTGGGCAATAAATCTGACTTCAACTGTACATATTTTTTTTAACCTTTTTTGTTTTCAGTTATAATGTTTCACAATATTGCTCTTTTTTTAATAAATCATATGCAAGCGGGGTGAGCATAAATTACTTCAAAATGAACTAAAAACCCTCTGAACAGTATTTTCGTTCATTCATTTTCTTTTCGGCATAGTCCCTTTATTAATCTGGGGTTGCCACAGCGGAATGAACCGCCAACTTATCCAGCGTACGTTTTACAAAGCAGATGCCCTTCCAGCTGCAACCCATCACTGGGAAATAAATCTATGCTAGAGGTTAAGATCGAACTCATAACCTCGGCATTGCTAAACACTGTACTGTCTTATAAGTACCGTGCGCTGACCAATTGCTCCACTGAAGCTAATGTATAGTTTTATGTAAATAATGTATAAATAATGAATAAATAATGAATAATAAATAATATAAATAATTAATAAATCGTTACAAGTAATGTGTGCAATTTTAACAATGTTATAAAAATCCATATAGCAAGTGCATTTTTCTTCGCTCCAAATGAACAATGCTGAATCAGTCAATGAAATAAGCTATTGTCATTATTTTTTCAATTCGGTTTATCTAGCACAGGGGTTTTCAAAGTGTGAGGCGCGCCTCCCCTGGGGGGCGCCAGAGCATGTCAGGGGAGGCGCGGGAAAAATATATAATAAAAATATAATTATTAAGTTTAATTATTATATGTATTTTTTATTATATTTAAACGTTTTAATTAAACAAAGCTAAAAAAAATAATACGTCAAAAATAAGAAAACCTTTTTTACCCAGAAGGCCATAGCTGTGAATTCTCTTCTGTTTGGCAAGTCTGTCGCGCGCGTTCTGATCAGCTGTGTTGTCGCGCGCACGCTCAAGAGCGGTGTTGTCGCGCGCCTACTGAAGGGCGGGACGGAGGGTGTGTCGCGTCGCGGGGGCACTTTTGATCATTTTGGAAGGGAACTTTCTATCCAGGATTAAAAAGGGCATGTGCACTGCACAGGTTGAGCCCTATGTGGGCACGTGCCTGCAATGGATCGGTTTCTGAGACCCCCGATTCAAAGCCTTCAAGTTCAGGGCTTAAACCCAAAAGACGACGATATGACGATCAGTATTTGAGTTTAGGATTTATGTGGACAGGACCAGCTGATGAACCACGACCTTTATATGTGGTTTGTCAAGATATTTTGGCTAATGACAGCATGAGACCCGCTAAACTTCGACTGTTTTGACTGGGATGAACAGTTCTTGGATCTGTTCTATTCATATTTAACCATCATCCTAGTTTTAAAAACGTTATATTAAAATACTTGTTATTACTCTGTAAATAATTGCACTTTCATGCAAATGATGATAAAAGTGAGTTAACAGTCTGACATCTGTCTGTGTCTTTATATATACTGTATATGTGTATGTATGTGTATATATATATATATATATATATATATATATATATATATATATATATATATATATATATGTGTGTATGTATGGATGTGTGTGTGTGTGTGCGTGTTTGGGAGGAGGGGGGTGCCAATGGATAAGTTGTGTCAAAAGGGAGGCCCACTGTCTTAGACTTTGAAAACCCCTGATCTAGCGGCACTGAAATCACACGCCAACATCAAACTGTATTACAGGGAGGACAAAGGTGATCAGCTACTGGATTACAAGCAAGAAATGCAAACTATGGAGGAAGAAATAAAGAAACTGCAGAAAGAAGTGAGCTTGCTGTACTGATAATAAACACTTGATTATGTTTATAAATAAATACTCATCTTCCTGATTGTTTCGCGTTTGTCTCAGAGTCGAGCGCTGCAGGTGGAGGTGCGTGCGAGTCGTGGACTGAAGGATGAACTGGACTGTTTGCGTGAACGTGCGGCCCGAGTGGAGCAACTACAGACGGAGCTGAAGAACTGCACACATCGCCTGCGCAGCATGGAGCTTTATCGCACACAGCTGAAGGTACAGAAGAGCAATGCCATGCTAATGTCAACCTTGCCATGAAAAAAATTATGTTTTCGCCAAATTAATGAATCATTTTCTAAGTTTTTTGTGTAGCCTTGTTTTTGACAGTACTGTAAAAATACTCAAAAATGTCTCTGTCAATGTTTTCGAACATTTATATTTGATTTACCAAAGTCACAAAAGTGGCAATTTCACATCTGCCACATCCATAACGAAGCTTTTTACTAATAAATGCAAATAAAATAAATTCAATCATTTTTGTCATATATTGAGCCAACTCTTATCCTTTGATTAGCATTGTTTCTTTTGGGGCATGCAATTTAATTCACAGAATTTCTACTTAGTACTGTAAACTTGCATATTTTTTTGGTCAAATCCATATTTTATGGTAATAATAATGGTAATGACGGTAAGTCTGGTTGAATATGTTTGGGGTGAATACATTGTGCTGTGAATTCCTGTAATGTTGATGCTCTCTGTGCCGACAGGAGCAGCAGCAGTACTGCGCCTCGCTGCAGGAGAACAAGGCTCTGCTGGAGGAGCAGCTGGCGGACGCTCGCCTGCGCTGCACTGCTTTGCGGGATCTGGAGAAGGAGAATCTTCTACTCAGACAGAAGCTCGTGGATATGGAGGCTGTACGAATGTCTTTATAACCTTATAAAGTTTTATCTGCATGTTACCGTTTGGGACTGTGGAGTTAATGTGGAATTAATCAGTTTTGGTTCAATTATGCTGGATTGTAAATTGTATAATACGTCAAAAATAAGAACCAATTCTAACTATGAACTAGTGGCTTATTACCTGTCTATTATTACAATATTGGCTGTTTATTAGTCATTTTGGTCACATTTTTTAAATGTAAAATACAATTTAGGCTATTAACAAACCATTACTTAAGATTTTAGTTCAATGAAACTGCTTATTAATAGTTAGTAAGACAGTAGTTAGATATTTTGTAGACTTAAAGATGTAAAATAACATCATATATAAGTGCTAGTAAACAGTTAATATTTTAATAATAGACAGGCAATAAGCCAGTAGTAAATGGTGTGAATTGTTACTAAGACTAAAGTGTTACCGTAATTAATGAGTACATATTCTGCATGATCTTATTCTGCATTGTAAAAAAAATTACAAAAAGTCAAGACAACAAATATTATTTATTTTGCTTTAACTTATTTTAATAATTTAATCAGGTTTTAACTAATCCTAAGGTGTGCAATGTTTATCTTAATATCTTTAGTCAGTTTGATTGATGTGTGTTGAGATGACTAGAAAAGTTAATTTAATTCAACAAAAAAGGCAGCATGTGTATTTTTGCAGTGTATCCTACCCAATACCTAAAGTCAAATATTTTTATGTTGCTTTACCTTATTTTAATAAACTTAAATAGGTTTAAACTAATTTTTTTAAGTTTTTCAAAGTGTAATTTAATATATATATATAAATATTTATAATATATATTATTTATAATATATATATATATATATATATATATATATATATATATATATATATATATATATATATATATATATTTATTAATTAAATTTGTATCAGTTTGATTTGATGTGGGCAGTACGGTGGCGCAGTGGGTAGCATAATCTCCTCACATCAAGAACGTCCCTGCTTCGAGCCCCGGCTGGGTCAGTTAGCATTCCTTTGTGGAGTTTGCATGCTCTTCTCGTGATCTTGTGGGTTTCCTCTGGGTGCTCTCGTTTTCCCCACAAGTCTAAAAACGTGGTGAATTGGGTAAGCTAAATTGGCCGTAGTATATGTGTGTGAATGTGTGTTTTTCCCAGTATTGGGTTGCAGGTGGATGGGCATCCACCTGCAATGAATGAATGATTTGATGTAAGCTGAGATTTTTAGTTCATTTGATTCAACTAAAAAAATGTTTCCAGAGTATCCTACCCATTACTTAAACCTAGCTTCTACCTTAACAACTATTAATAAGCAGCAAATTAGTAGTTTGTTGAGTTAAAAGTCATAGTTAGTGGTTTGTTAATAGCAAGAATTGTACTTTAAAATTGTAACCGAAAGTTCGAAAGTCAGTATTATTAGCCCCCCTGTAATTTTTTTCAGTAACGCTTTATAATAACTACACACTGTAAATCATTTATTAAGCATAAGCAAATAGTGAATTCAATATGTTAAGCATTAACTCTACCTTAATAGATGTTAGTAAGCAGGTTATAAATACAGCTGCAAATGCTGTATTCTTGACTTATAAACACATTTATAATGTGCTTAATGATTGTGTTTTCATGCTTTTGTAAGGACTAATTTTTTCATTACTTAACTAAGTATTGCATTATTTACGAACCAGTTATTTAATATAGTTGGTGCTATTTTAAGATCATTCAAAGTGCATAAGTAAATGATTAATGAACTATTCAAATTAACATTCATATATCTTATTGTTTAGGCATAAACTAATAGTTCATTTGTATATTAATAAATGCTTTATTAACTTAACTTCATCCAGGTTTGTGACCTAATCTAAAGTGAGGACTATTTATGCTTTGTAAATTCCTTATAAATGACAATTAAAGGCTCAGTTATCTTCTAAACAGGAAAAAAAGAGAAAATAAATAGCTTTATTAATTTCTATTCAATTGATACGCAAATAAAAACTGTATTAAAGGAAAAATAAATCTTTGCAATCTAAAGTAAAACAAAATTACTGTACAGTTTAAACATCACTGAATAACATTGAAATGATGCATCATAATATATTGTTAACCTATTATATTGTTGTTGTTTTATCAATTTTTATTTAATTGTATTTATTTCTAATTGTATTGTAATACTCCTGTTATTCGGCAATGTTTAAAGTTCACAGTCATTTTAATTTTTAGATAAGATTGCAAACATTTATTGTTCATTTGATACTAAGCCTTACTGTAGTTGTCATTTATAAGAGATTTATAAAGCATAAATAGTCCACACTTTAGATTAGGTCTCAAAACTGCATGAAGTTGCCTTAATAAGCATTTATTAACATACATAGTAACTATTACTATATGTTTAACGACGGTGAGCGATGACACACACAACTGGGGTAAGATCCAATATGCAGGTTTAATCGTAGTCAGGCAAGCAGTGGTCAATGCAGGTGCTAACGGGTATGTACAGGCAGTCCAGAATCGTAGTCAGTAAACAGGCTATAGGTCGTAAGGCAGGCGGCTAAACAGGAGAACAAGGATAAACAAGGCTGGGTCGAAACACGGAAACAAGACAGGGAAAACGCGTTGTAATGTCACCTACTGATCAAAAAGACTCGGCAAACTGAAAGGGTGAATGTGTGGCTTATGTAGTGAATGCAGTCAGTCTCTGATAGTCCTCAGGTGTTGCGAGTGTAATCAGTCTAGATGAGTGAGCATGGGTGTCTGGGCGAAGTGCATGTCTGAATATGTAGTCCAGAAAAAGGCGGAAGTGTAGTCCATGGTTATTGTGTGGGAACCAGCGATCTCTGGAGAACGATCGCTGGCCATCGTGACAATATGCCTGAATAATAAAACATATAAATGTTAATTTGAATAGTTTATTAATTATTTCACAACTCATTCTGAATGATTCTAAAAGTCACCAACTACTCATAAATCAGCTGGTTTGTAAATAATGCAATACTGAATTTAGTAATGAACAATTAACTAGTAAAATACCACAATTATGGACATTATAAATGTGCTTATAAGTCAAGAAAACAGCATTTGCAGCTTAAGTTATAAACCGCTTATTAATGTCTATTAATGTAGAGTTAATGCTTAACAGATAATGTAGTTACTATTTGCAAATGCTTAATAAATCATTCACATGGGCTGCGTCCGAAGCCGCCTACTACTCAGAAGGTACTATATTTGAATTCAAACGTACTACTCGACCGTTAGAAAAGTACGTTCTATACAGTATGAATGTGAAAAGTATGAATGAAATTCGGATATACTACATCCGCCATTTTGACATAGTCACGTGACGTACCTGCGTAATTTGCGTCGCTTCACTCCCATTCATGAATTCGCTCGTGGGGCATCATGGGATAGGGCAGCATGCATGGGATGTGCACTCCAGAATCTCGCCGGAAGTAGTAAGTCATCCGGGCACTTCTCGCATACTGTTTTTCGAATTCTATGAATTCGGAAATACTACTCGGCTCACATACTGATTTTAGCGTACTATATAGTATGGAAGTATGCGGTTTCGGACGCAGCAAGTGTGTAGTTATTATTAAGTCTTACCTTTTTTTCTCCATTTTTTTTCCTCCATTGTGTTTTTTAACACATTTCTTAACCGTCATTCATTTTCTTTCCGCTGTGGCGACCCCAGAATAATAAAGGGACTAAGCCGAAAAGAATATGAATGAATGCCCTTCTGGCTGCAACCCATCACTGGGAACATCCATACACACACATTCACATACATATACTACGGACAATTTAGCTTACCCAATTCTCCTATAGCGCATGTCTTTGGACTTGTGAGGGAAACCGGAGCACCCAGAGGAAACCTACGCCAACACAGGGAGAACATGCAAACTCCACACAGAAATGCCAACTGACTCAGCTAAGGCTCAGTGACCTTCTTGCTGTGAAGCGATCATGCTATCCACTGCGCCACCGTGACGCCCTGTTGAACATCATTTGGGACTTACTTGAAAAAGAAAAAATTTCAGCAGTGCGAATAATTTTGACCAACTGTATGATTGTTTGTGTAGGAGCGGGATGTGGAGAGACAGCGGGTGGACGAGCTGCTGGAGATGAACATGAGTCTGCAGGTGGATCTGAAGCGCCAGGTTCATTCTGCAGGTGTCAATCAAAGTGTGACTCATCAACATTTCCTCCAATCAGAGCTAGAGTCTGACGAGGATGTTCAGGAAGTAAACATGCCCGAGATTGGTAGGTTTAATTATGCATGATTTGATATTATGGTGTTTGATATTATGACTCACATGGCATTGCTACACTGTTGAATTCGTAATTTAATGAGTAGATATCAATCACTTTTATGCAAATCAGCCCGTCAGGATTAGAAATAGACATTTATGAATACATTTACATTCCGCCCTATCGATAAATCATCCACCTTCATGTTGTTTCAGATCTCTGTGTTGTTCGTTCTTCTGTAATGCATGGAAGGAATAGATTGGCCTTGTCCTGGATGGCCTTTTCTGTATAGTGAAAATAAATAGGAAAAGATAGAAAATAAAACTTTAATGTTGCTGTTTTTGAAGCTTGTCAGTTTTCATTTGGATTCAGGGAAGTCTGAAAAGACTGCTTTGTTTCTCATTTGATCTGGTGATAATAGAAATTACAGTTTTGATTGAAACTGATCTTAAAAGGGATAGTTCATCGAAATCAAATGAAAAATCTGTCATTTATTTGAATAATCTTCAGAAAAACCTATTAAGATATGTTTGATTACACATGAGAGATTTCCTTTAATGAGTCCAGGTTACCAAAATATAAAAGATAACCTAAAAGTTACACAGGCACAGGGCTTAACATCAACTTTTTTGATTACCAGCCACTGTGGCTAGTAGATTTTCAATATTACTAGTCACTCGCCATTTTCACTAGTCACAATTTTGTTGTTGAGAATATATATTTTCTACGCATAAATTTGACTTTGGCATGCTAAAATTAGTTGATTTAGATCTTGTGTTATGTCCACATGCCTCCTCATTCAGTTCACTTTTTTGTGTTGTGTATGAGCTTGCTCGATGTGCATGAGCAAATGAATTGTAGTTTCATTGTGTCGCATTGCAAATAGTTTTTATTTCACATGACTTTTTTAAAAAGTCGCGCTAATCACATCACTTGTGTGCAGGAGTAATTATACTCTCATTCGGTAATCACTTGCTTGCGTGAATACAATTATATTTGTTGGTCATGCTGCTTTTCGATTCTAAGATCACATTGGCATAAATATCGGTCTATCTTTATTGTGGAGCCCTGCTTTAAGAAAACTACAATTTAAAAAATATTTTCAACCAGCCGAAACGGCTAGTGGAAGGTTTCATAGTGTCGCATTGCAAATAGTTATTTCATATGACTTTTCAGGGCTCAAAATTAAGGATTTACCAAATTTATCTCTGACCACACCAAAAAAGAAATAAATAATTATTTGTTAGCCACAAATTTTAAATAATGTGTCATAACAAACTATAGCTGTATACACACTCTTTTTATTCATCAAAACTTTTCTTAAAAAACAAATTGACATTTAAAAAAGAATTAATGTCATGCATCTAAAATATGCACAGTATTCTGTCCTGGCTAAAGGTTCTAGATCCAGATCCCCTAGTTTTTTTTTTGTGTGTGATTTTTTTTGATTTTGCAATTATATATATATATTTTATTATTATTTTATAATTTGCCATATTGGCCTACTATGTTAGGTGTGTGCAATCTGACACAATGAGAAGGACACAAATCATAAAAAATAAAGCTTCTTTATTTTGGTCTCTTGTCAAGGCAAGATCTAAAACAGATCTAAAAAGGTAGGGATTAAGTCAAAGGACGGCTGTATTATTTTTATGCACAAGTTTACTATTTCTCTCTCTCAGGTTTCGCTTTCGGAGCATCTGATATGTACCTCACTCAGAACATGTGTTAGGGCTTCCCCTTCCGTAATACACCTAAAACACGGATTCGGTTTTCTCTCGTTATATACAGGAAAAGAGTTAAACGAAATCACTTATCGATTTCATGAACACCATAAAACCAGCCATACGTGTAAAGCACAAATAATGTCTTTCAATTCGGTCAAGTCCAGCGGGGTTGCTCTGTTTTTTAGAGGTTGAGATTTGCTCAAACTTTTTTGCAGTCTGAAGCGCGTCAAATGCACAAAACGCCCAATTCACGCCACAGGATGTCTAATGCATCTTTGCACTGACTTCACATGTAAATCAATCGCGCTTCATCCACATCTGCTTACTGTACAGGCTGCAAAACACCCCCCCATGAAATGTAATGATTGTGAGGGCGCAGGTAAGACGTAATTTTTCGAGAAACACTCATATTTTTTATCACAACACGTGTGCTGCGTTTGCAAACATTTAATTGCAAACTGAAATAAATAACATTTTATTATATGGTTTGGAATTTGAAGTTTTATGAGATTATTTTTTATGATTATTTTATGTTCAATTAAGAATTTTGTAAGATTGCAGGCCAATTAAGAATCTGTTCAAAGAATAGTTAAAGTGAAAGCAAAGCTTTTAAGCTAATGAAAGCAGCAGGACTGTAAGTGCACGATCATCGTGCATGTCCAGTCTTGTTTAAAAAAAAAACGATTGCACCAGTTGCCTTGTTCTCCAGGCTCGGTTGCTTTTCGCAAGTAAACGGGAGCATGCACGCTTTTAAAACAGCAACAGAGTAATTATCCTCTCATTTGGTGTTCACCTGGTTTCTTTTGATTGCGCGAATACAATTATCTTTGGATTCCGGCTAGTGGGAGAGGCTGTCTAACCTGCCACAGCTGAAATCTACCCGCATTAGGTGGGTTGGCAGGTGTTAATGTCAAGCCCTGCACAGGCATACTGTAACAAACTCTGCCTTAAATTTTTAAGTTGAATCAAATAAACTTTACAAGTCATGACATGACATGGAGCAGAGTTGACCGCGACAATGGGGTTCGAGTCCGGCGAAGAAAGCAGGTAAGACAAAAACCAAAAAAGTTTTAAGGAAGTTTTAAGGAAGTGGGTGGACGGGTCAATCAGTGCTTTTGAAAACACTGTCGGTTGGGTTTAGGGAAGGAGGAAGGTGGGTCAGTCGATCGGTCAGTCGACAGCGGCCTCTGTTGGATTTTCAGAACAGCAGGCGTGAATAGCACGCGAATGGGAAATTTGAGATCTCAAAAAGCGTACACAGCGGCAACTGGTGGATTTGCGAAAACAAAAACTGCAAAAAAACGTAGCTCCTGGAACGTATTTGGCATTCTCCAAAAATGTAAATAGGGGAACAGAATGAGCTTTCAGAATGAGCTTGGATTGTTTTTTTAGAGTGTAAGTAGGTTTATGAAAAAATGCCCTTGGAAATCAATCCTGACCTTGAAGTGTGTTTGTGCGTCTCTCTTACTTTGGTTCAGATCTGAAGCCCCTGAGTGAGGAGGTAAATGAGGCTTCCTCGTTGAGGCTTCTGGGAGCTGAAAACGAGAACGCCGAGCTGAGACGGCGACTGGAGCTCCTGCAGGCTGAACAAGAGGTCAGCGGATGTTTGGCCAGATTTATCCTCAGGCTACCACCTGGCTGATGTTAATTCTCAGGTCTCCCATGTACTGTATGTCTCTCTCTCTCTCTCTCACACACACAGGCTCAGCAGGGCCCAGAGAAAACCCAAGAGCTCCAGAGACTCACAGAGCAGCTCTCACAAAAGCTTCAAAACACCCTCAAGGAGGTGAGCCACTTCTGACAGATTTAAGGAGCGTTTTTTCCTTCTTTTTTCTGTGTCTACTGTCATTTTGTCCCCGTTTCAACTTTTTGAATCGGGCCCTGTCATTTCTCTTTTAACCGTTAGCTGGAGTGTCTGAAGAATGAAAATAGCAGCCTGAAGATAAATCTGGAGGAGACAAAACGCAAACGGGAAGAAGACCTAAAGACAGACAGAACAACCTCACAGGGAAAAGAAGGGAAAAAGCCAGTAATCCCAAGAGGGGAGTGTGAGGGAAATGACACGAGGAGAGAGAAACATGATGGAAAAGAAGGTGTAATAAAAGCCCGCCGAGAAGATGGGGAAGGGGGCGAGGGAGGCGACGTAATCCTCAGCGAGAGAAGAAAGAAGGTTATAGATGAAATGAACAGCAAAGAGAGAGGCGAGGCCGAGGGTGAGAAAGAAACCGAAAATAAGACAGACATCACAGAAGAGACATACAGCGATGAAGCCCTGAAGACTGAACATGATCAATTCTCCCAGGACGCCCTCACCCTGCACAACCAGCTCCAGCAGGCCCTGGAAGAGGCCGACAGACAGAGCGCTTTAGCCCAGGATTTACGCTCTAAAGTGGCCGAGCAGAGTAAGAAGGTCTTGGAGGCGGAACATAAGCTGGCTTTTCTAGAAACTGAGAATCAGAGGCTGAAGAAGGCTGCAGAGAGCCTTGCGGAGGCTAGGAAACAGATAGAGGTGATGATCACACAATAAATGCATGAGTTAAAGACACAGTTCACCCAAAAATAGACATTGTGCCACCTTTAACTTGTCCCAACACAAGCTTTATATTGCATCTTGTTCAAATAGAGACTCCTTTTAAGGGATAATTTACCCAAAAATTATAATTCTGTCCTCATTCAGTCTCTCTTGACTTTTTTTGTTCTGCAAAACTCAAAAGAGGAATGTTGTAAACATGTAGACACTGACTTGCGTATTTTTTATTTTTCATACTATGGAAGTTAATGGTTACATGTTTCTTCAGTATATCTACTTTTGAGTACTTTTGAGAACAAAAAAAGTCAAGGGTGAGAAAATGAGGACAGAATAAATTTTTTTGGTCTTGTTAGTAGTCTTTAGAATGTTACCATAAAATGCCATATGTAAAATTTTTACAATGCATCTGGAAAGTATTTATAGTGCTACACTTTTTTCCACATTCTTTTGTTACAGCCTTATTCCAAAATGGATTAAATAATTTATTTCCTTAATAATCTGAAAAAAAGAGTTTTTGAAATTGTTGCAAATTTATTACAAATAAAAAACCAGAAAAATCACATGTACATCAGTATTCACAGCCTTTGACGTGAAGCTCTAAATTGAACTCAGCTACATTCTGTTTCCACTTGTCATTCTTGAGATGTTTCAGCAGCTTCATTGGAGTTCACCTGTGGTAAATTCAGTTGATTGGACATGATTTGAAAAGACATACACGTGTATATATAAGGTCCCAGGGTTGACAGTGCATGTCGAAGCACAAACAAAGCATGAAGGTAAAGAAATTGTCTGTAGACCTCAGAGGCAGGATTGTATTGAGGCACAAGGCTGGGGAAAGTTACAAAAAAAAATTCTGTTGCTCTGAAAGTTCCAATGAGCACAGCGGCCTCCATCATCCGTAAGTGGAAGATGTTCGGAACCACCAGGACTCTTCCTAGAGCTGGCCGGCCATCTAACCTGAGTGATCGGGGGAGAAGGGCCTTAGTTCGGGGTGGGGCGGGGGGGTAGGGGGTGATCAATAACCCGATGGTCACTCTGTCTGAGCTCCAGCGCTCTTCTGTGTAGGGAGGAGACCCTTATAGAAGGACAACCATCTGTGCAGCAATCCACCAATCAGGCCTGTATGGTAGAGTGGCCTGACGGAAGCCACTCCCCACCTGGAAGTTGCCAAAAGGCATCTGAAGGACTCTCAGACCATAAGAAACAAAATTCTCTGGTCTGATGAGACTAAAATTTAACTCTTTGGAGTGAATGCCAGGTGTTACGTTTGGAGGAAACCAGGCAGCGCTCATCACCAGGCTAATACCATCCATCATGCTGTAGGGATGTTTTTCAGCAGCAGGAACTGGAAGACTAGTCAGGATAGAGGAAAAGATGAATGCAGCATTGCACAGAGACTTCCTGAATGAAAACCTGCTTCAGAGTGCTCTTGACCTCAGACTGGGGCGATGGTTCATCTTCCAGCAGGACAATGTCCTAAAGCACACCACCAAAATATCAATGGAGTGGCTTCACAACAACTCGGTGAATGTCCTTGAGTGGCCCAGCCAGAACCCAGATCTAAATCCTATTGAACATCTCTGGAGAGATCTGAAAATGAACCATCGCTTCCAATCCAACCTGATAGAGCTTGAGAGGTACTGCAAAGAGAAATGGGCAACAATTCCCAAAGACAGGTGTGCCAAGCTTGAGGCATCACATTCAAAAAGACTTGAGGCTGTAATTACTGCCAAGGGTGCATCAACGAAGTATTAGGCAAAGGCTGTGAATACTGATGTACATGTTATTTTTTTCACATTGTAATTATGGGATATTGTGTGTAGAATTTTGAGGAAATAAATGAATTTAATCTACTTTGGAATAAGGCTGTAACATAAAAAATGTGGAAAAAGTGAAGCGCTATGAATACTTTCCGGATGCACTGTATAAACCCATGTAAATGCACTTTGATTTGCTTTGGATAAAAAAGCGTCGGCTAAATAACTGCTTAATGTGTTTATATCGGGGCAGGTGCTGCAGGGTGAATCTATGCAGAAGGAGGAGGAGCTGATTCGTCTGCACAGTCAGGAGGAGCTCCAGAAGATGCAGGCTGCCATAATCGCTCAATTAGAGGACGAGCGAGCAGCACTGGAGCGGGAAAAAGAGACTCTCAGAGGCTCTGTAGATTCACTCAGGGCTGCCGTGCGCAAGGTGAGGCCGCTTATTTGCTCCACTACAAGATATAGATTACATGACTGGGGGAAACTTGGAGATTAATGGTGCCTACATTAAAATTATGCTGGAACAATGAGTGGATATCATAAAAAACACTCACAATGGGCAGAGCATCAGCGTGGGGGAACAGTAATGAGGTGCCAATAGTTGCTAATTGGTCTTTAAAGCGGCAGTTCACAGTTCTGTCATCCTTTCTTTGTTATGTGTAAAACAAAAGAGGATCTGTGCAATTAAAGTTTAATGAGAACTAAAGCTGTCAAGATGGAAAGTGGACAAAAGAGCAACATGAAAAATTTGTGCACATGAATAAGTCAATATAAATGTACAGTTAAAGTCAGAATTATTAGTCCCCCTGTATATTTTTTCACTGTTGCCATCTAATTTTTTAGAGTAAGTAGCTAAAGGTGAAACAAATTATTGCTAAAAGTTGCTAAATGATGCTGTGATTTCATTGTGTGATGACGTCAATACATAATCGCAAATCATAACTGCATCTTTATGTAACATACAAAATAATGATGAGTTTTCACAAGTTGATTGGCCAAACATTTGAAATATATTCAGTTATAGCACTGTGTTGTAGTTAATGATACCTAAATGGGGCAGCACAGTGGCGCAGTGGGTAGCACAATCACAAGAAGGACGCTGGTTTGAGCCCGGGCTGTGTCAGTTGGCGTTTCTATGTGGAGTTTACATGTTCTCCTCATGTTGGTGTGGGTTTCCCCCACAGTCCAAAGACATGCAGTACAGGTGAATTGGATAAGCAAAGTTGACCGTAGTGTATGTGTGTGCAAGAGTATGTGGGTGTTTCCCAGAGTTGGGTTGTTGCTGGAAGTGTATTCGCTGCAGAAAATATGTACTGGATTAGTTGGCGGTTCATTCCGCTGTGGCGACCCCTGATTAATAAAAGGGACTATACAAAAAGAAAATGAATGGATGATTTCTAAATGAACAACAATTATACCTGTTATCAACAAGATATCAGCAAATAAACAATTCAATATCTACTAGTGAGGCTGCAGTTTCAGGAGAACATTAAAGCTGATTTATACTTTTCCTGGTGACACATCAAGGATCTCCACTGTGTACACACACCTTGCAAAATGGACGAGTCTTTTATACTTGACGTGTTCGCTATTGAGATATTTTTTTAAAACAACAGGGGGCGGTTTAAAGAAATCAACCGTAAAATCAGACGGATAAACGGATCACTCCACAATTCACACATTACTGTCTGGCTAGTTTGTGTCCTCTACTTACAGTTGAAATCAGAATTATATATTTTTTCTTTTTCAAATATTTCCCAAATGATGTTTAACAGATTTAGGAAATTTTCACAGTATGTCTGATAATATTTTTTCTTCAGGAGAAAGTCTTATTTGTTTAATTTCGGCTTGAATAAAAGCAGTTTTAATTTTTTTAAACATCATTTTAAGGTCAATTTTATTAGCCCCTTTAAGCAATTTTTTCCCCCTAATAGTCTACAGAACAAGGGGCGAAGCAGTGGCGCAGTAGGTAGTGCTGTCGCCTCACAGCATAAGGTCGCTGGTTTGAGCCCAGGTTGGGCGTTTCTGTGTGGAATTTACATGTTTTCCTTGTGTTGGTGTGGGTTTCCCCAACAGTCCAAAGACATGAGGTACAGGTGAATTTGATAAGTTAAATTGGCCGTAGTGTATGTGTGTGCAAGAGTATGTGGGTGTTTCCCAGTGTTGGTTTGTGGCTAGAAGTGCATTCGCTGCAGAAAATATGTGCTGGATAAGTTGCCGGTTCATTCCGCTGTGGCGACCCCTGATTAATAAAGAGACTAAGCCGACAAGAGAATGAATGAATGAGTCTACAGAACAAACCATCGTTATATAATAACTTGCCTAATTACCCGCACCATAATCTCTTCAAAGTGATTCATATTTACCTTAAATGTAACGAGGCTCGCGTGCACTCAAAACGAACCTCCACAAATGCAGCGATGATGTCACATTCGCCGAGTGCACACAAGCAACCTATTGAACACATCGAGGATAAATCAGCCTTTAGGACCTCTTATTATGACCCTCCCCAACGTCTACCCTAAACCACCTCCTGCTGGACAGATCAAGGACAACAGGGTCCTAAAAATCCAGAGGGTCCAAAAAATATGCACATAATGAATTTGATAAGTACGATGCGATCCTGGATTAGCATCTATGTTGATCCTGGAACATCATTTTTTGATTGAAAATGTAATCCATACCTATTTTCTACTCCTAATCCCATCCATAACTGTAAATTATTCCCAAAATCAAAGTGGAATATGCCTAAAGTAAACATAAAAGGTAAATATATCCCTTAATTCTGATTGGCTGACTTGAATGTTGTTAAAGGGTCAACATAAATGTTAATCCAGGAATATGTCCTACTTGGTGAAAACAGGTTGGTGAAAAAGAACAGTCAGAAATGCGATCCAGCCTCTCCGGATGTTTGGGAACATGCTAATCTGTACTAATAGTACTGTGCCCGGATATTTATCTGAGTTAAGTCACTACTGCTCATTGTATTTCATTCACGCGTTAACAGTTGCTAAACTTATTGCAAGATGCTTTTTGAAAAAAAAAAAAATGTTGATAGAGTCGTATAAAAAGTGTTAAATCAACAAAATTGCTAAATTAACACCGACTGAACTCTACTTATACTACTGCACAGCGAAGAAAAGTGAGTGTATTTTCTATTGTTGACTGAATGATGCAAACCACTTTCTCGTAGGGTGATCAAATAGAGCTGATCAACCAAAACCTGAAGGCTGATCTGGAAAGACTGGGTCGGACCCTGGAGTCTTCCAAACGGCATGAAGAAGAACTGCAGGCTGAGCTTAGAGAGTCCGGCGTGGAGGCGGAGTCTCTGGCCAGGGGGCGGGAGGAAGCGCTGCTGGAAGTCTCTCGATTGGAGCAGGAGAAGGAGGCGTGTCAGGCAGAGCTTGAGAGCCAACGACGTGAGCTGCGACAAAGAGAGCGAGAGATGGCCAGACTCCGACAGCAGCTGGAGAGCACATCATCTGCCCTGGAGCATGGCCACCAGCGAGCCTGCAGCCTGGAGGCAAACAACAGGTACAGGCATATGTGCAGCTGAGGTCAGAATTATTAGCCCACCTGAATTATTAGCCCTCCTCAATATTTTTTTCCCCAATTTCTGTTTAACGAAAATAAGATTTTCAACAAATTTATTTTTATTTTAACTGATTATTTTTTTATCTTTGTCATGATAACAGTACATACTATTTTACTACATGTTTTTCAAGATACTAGTATTTAGCTTAAAGTGACATTTAAAGATCTAACTAGGTCAATTAGAGAAGTCATTGTATAATGATAGTTTGTCCTGTAGACAATCGGAAAATAAATATTGCTTAAGCAGGATAATAATATTGACATTAAAATGGTTTTAAACAATTTTTAAACTGCTTTTATTGTAGATGTTTATATGTTTTATTAGACAACACAATATCAATGTTTTCACTTCAGAAGCGTAAAAACAAATGAAAACATTTACTATTCTGACAAATTTTCTGGAAAGAAAATCTAAATGCAAATTTGTATTTGAAATCTGGATAAAATATTACCAGACATTAATAGAACAAAACACATTTTAAGATTTTACTTAAACCCATACCTATCAAATCATGTAAACCCAGAAACACTTTGGACATTTTTTTCCAAAGCTGTTTTTTCAATATTGACATCATGCAAGGTTTTTGAGCACCAGATTTTTAGCACATTTGTATGATTTCTGAAGGGTCATGTGGAATTATTTGATTTGAATTGCACAAATATTATTTTATGCTTGAATAATATAATATAATATAATATAATATAATATAATATAATATAATATAATATAATATAATATAATATAATATAATATAATATAATATAATTTTATATAATATTATATAATATTATATAATAATTTCAAAGTATTATTGCTTTCTACTCAAATTTTCAAATAAATAAATAGAAATAAAATAAATAAAAAATTTGAAATATTACTGAACTCAATTGTAGATATTTTTCTGTTTCTCACACAAAAAGTTATTATATTGCTTCAGAAAGTACAATGTAAAAAATTATTAGTTGATTACTTGAAATTAGTGAGTAAACCTATTTTCTTTTTTTTTAAATTAATGAACTGTGCATAATTATAAAAATTAAGTTAAAGCAACTTAACAGTTCCAAGGTACATTGGAGAAATTTATTGACAGGCGCCATGTTTCTATAATAACTTGCATAGACACGTCCACAGAACATTTTTTTTCACAAAGAAACTGGGATTAAAATATCTTTTCCAACTCTCTGTGATGTTTATCAATTTAAAATGTTTTTTTAATCAGAGCATGTTTTTAATAAAGACAGTAAAGTGGCTGAAATTCTTAACAGCTATAATCACCACGGCCGCATGGTGTAAGTAAACACATGTGTGTGTGTGTGTGTGTCGGGCAAACGGCATTTTTGTTTGACTCATCGTTTCAAAAAGACTTGAATAAACTCCACCACAAATACATGAAATAAACTTACTTGGTAGTTTTGACTAATGAGCTGTATTTTAGCTTCATTTGTGTCTATCTCTATCACTGACTGCTGTTTATCTGATGAAACACAGGAGAAGCAGAAACACACGTGGGAGCGGTGGGCGGGGAGAAACAGCTCATTTGCATTTAAAACCACAGTCTACAAAAAAGCTATACTGTACTCAGACACCAAACTGCGCAGATTCTGGAGGTTATAATAAATAATTTGATGGGTATTTTGAGCTGAAACTTCACAGACACATTCTGGAGACACCAAAGGCTTATCTTACATCTTGTAAAAGTGGTAACGTAGGTGCCCTTTAAGTAAAGTACAGGGGTGATAGCGTTCCGGCACCACGCCGGATTTCCGGCGTACTGTGGCTGCAGGGGAAAAAAAAAATCAGGTTCACGGATATTGATCTGTCATTTCTCTAGATTCACTGAATTCACTCACTGCTGAAAGCGCCGGATTGGTTTTTATTAAGTGCCATTTTGTGTGCTCGTGAATCATCTTTTGAGTGTAGACGCCATGTAAATAAAAGATTAATTGTGTAATTTAGAGAGCTTTATAAATTATAACGGATCTTTGTGAGATCTCTATGAACTAAGATTAGTGACGCTTTTTAGTGATAATAAGAGGAGCGTGCTTTGCACTTTCCAGGCTATAATCCATTCAGAATTTGTATGAAACTTTCGTTTTCGGCACATATACGCTGATATGTTTTGGGAATGACAGCTGCATATTTACGCTGGGTTTATTCTCGAAATAACGGTGAAGCAAGACGGGACAAAAATATATTTCCCCCTTCTCCTTAAACAACTTAACGTTAGTGTTTCAGCTATGAAATAGTTCAGTTTTGTATGTAGCCTAATGGCAGTGTTTATATTTAGTTTCGTTTTTTATTTAGCTTATTTAAAAAAACGTTTGGAGCAGTTTTTATTCGTTAAAAATAAGTTTTTTTTTTTTTGTTTTTTTTAACGAACATCGCCCAGCGGAAGACCATCATTGTCTGTTTGATCAGTTTGCCTTCTCAGATCATCACGACTTGCCTAAAATAAAAGATATAAAACAGTTCAAGTATAAAACAATGGTAGCTTAAACGTTAAACAATGTGTGCTATTAGGCGCATAGTTTGCTTATAAAAAGCTTGCAGGACATCGAGGCGCCAGAGCAATCGCTTGCATTTTTTCAGTGGGAGCAATTTAAAGTTATCCGTCATTTTTGCTCACAAAGTACGAGTAATACATCAAAAAACGTTACAGCGTTTTTATAAAATAAAGAAAACCAAAATTATGCGCTTTCTGTCGTCTGGTTTTTGAACAGGAGCGCTTAACAAAATGAAGCAAAATGTATATGCCTCCCAGACATAATAAATATATTTATAGAAAGCTTTAAATTATTACTTAACGAAATAAAACAAATCGAAAACAAAAAAAACTCCTTCATGTAATCCGTAAAGATGAATTTCTCTCTAAAGGCGAGTCCAAGAGGAGATTGCCAGTCAGGATCTTTGCGACACTGACTCAGAATAAGTTTATTAATAAATAATTAAGATATGTCCTTACTCTTTCCTCGACACATTCATTGTTATGTGTTTTTGCCGGTGCTTGGGGCGAGTTTTAGCTTATTGTGTGCGCTTAAACGCGGATTCACAGTAGCAGTTTTAACATGGAGAGACACGACATCGGACGTACAGATGACACTATCGTACGTACAGATAACCCTATCGCGCGTAAAGCGAGCGAGCCAAGGCCAGTGGCGTTTCCACTGTCACTTCCGGGGCCTAATCGGGCCAAAGCGGGGCTTTCCCGGGGCCAGCGGCCGGATTTTTTCGGCCCGCCGAATACCTTGGGCCAAAGAGGGCCAGCCGGGGCTTCGGGGCGGAGTAAAAGGAGAGGCGGGCACAGTTTTCCGATCGCACACGAGTACATGCGCCAAACACATAAACAAACAAACAAATAAATAAGAGAAAGAAAACATCTGGAACAAATTATAGGCTGGGCGAGCGGCTTTTTTCTTTTCTTTTTATTGTTTTAATTTATTTTGGAGATAATACACTATATGAATACAACAGAAAGACATTAAACTTTACAATTTTCATGTCCGCTTTTGTAGGCTCAAAACAATAGTGTCATATCTAGATAAAACAGCCTAAGCTATATTTAAATAATTTAAAGAATTACAAATATCAGATAGGCTTATAATAAAATCACATTAAATAAATAAACCAATATAAAACTAACAAAAGCTATAGCTATAACAATTAGGTACTATATCAAACTGTTTCAAATTTATATTAAACTTTCATTTTTCAAAAGCCTCTTTGAAAAAAGGATTTTCTAAAAAAAAATAAATAAATAAATAAACACCGGAAAATGTTTTAAATATTATTTATAAAGTATTTGGATACGATGATATTAATCAAATCATGCAAACAGAGCATTTTCGGGGTGAGTGAACGCAGAAATAGGCGACCTTTTTTTCTGTCTTCAGCTGCGCAGCACTTTTTTGACGGGGAAAACTGCAAGTTCAAACTGTGTTCTGTGTCCTCAAACAAGTGTGTATGTTTTTATAAAACGTGGTAAAATTAAAAAAGGAAATTTAAAATACATAAAGAGCTTTATTAGTGCATAGCTGCTGAGCGCAACGAAATATAGGCTATATTTTATTACGTGCTGCTCTTATGAGCTGAAACACTGAACACTTTCCTTTACTTAAGATATAATAAGCAACATCTTTAAATAAAGGGAATCACCTATTAAGTGTCGTGTCGTAAAGCCTATAGGGAAAAAAAATCATGTTTCAGTTCTCTCCGGAGCATTTGGGATGAATGTTGGACAGATTCTGTCTAGAGGATGTTATAAAATACATTTAATATCGAGTTATTAACGGAGAATTTTATATATGTGGTGTTATATTATGGATGTGTGCGCTCCCTGCGCTCCGGGTCCCTCCGTTGGTGGCAAGACCACTGGATTTCGATGCCAGTGGGTCGGCGAGTAAATGAATATGATGAATGAAAACACACAGGCATGTGCGTATAGACATGCTTTGTACTACTGTACAGTAACGTGTCATTTGTTTGTTTTGGTTGTCCTATTTTAATAGTTTCGTGATGATGTGATGGTGTGCTTTATCTGCATGATTCTCGCTGAAGTGGGCGGTTTGAGTGACGTTCGATTCGGGGGATGTTCTGGGGGCGGGGTTTGCTGACGCTACTAGCCCCACAGTGGAAACGCGACATGATTTCGGCCTCACTGCTCAACCTCCCAGGCGATTGGCCCGGCCTGGCCCGATATAAGCCCTGGCTCGCACTGGCTTGATAGTGGAAATGCGGCTAGTAGTCACACTTCCGGTGGCACGTCCGGTTTTCCACTGTCATGTGTCACTTGCTAGTGGCATGTGTAGTGACCTGTGTCACTCAGAGTGTCGCGCTGCATGTCACTGCAGTGACATCGACACCCGGCGAAGCTTATGACATTAATTAACACAAGCAAAACCATATTTAAACATTACGCGACTTTTAACCTAATTTATCGCGTCGCAAGTTAGTTTATTTGCTGAGCTACTCCACGATGTTTTAATTTAAACGCATTTAGTACGTAATATAGTCATTTGACAGTACATGTCAGTCAAATTTATTGTGGCATGCTTATGTATGGGAGGGGTTACACTTATCTGTTGTACTGTATATTATTGCATCCTGGCAGTTCCTTTGTTCCCTACAATATGGACTTCTCTATGTTTTTAATTAATTCATTTATTTTATTATTTAACTTATTTTCATTTTAAGGTATTTTAAATAATATCCTTTAAAAAGTTATAATAAGATGCATGTTGAAAACTCATAACATATATGCATGTAAGATAACGGGTGTCATTTGCCTAATGATTGTTAAATATTAAAGCAAAGAGACTTATAAGATTAATGTGCTTATAACGTGCTTATACTGACACCTACTGGCACATGTCACAAGATCACTGACACTGGCATGTGTCACTGACATTACTGGCATGTAGCTGCAGTGACAGCAACACAGCGTAATGATACTTATAAACAAATCATTAGTTTATCATTAATTTATCACCACAATAAATCTGACTGACATGTACTGTCAAATGACTATATTAAATACAGAAGTAAGACTACGAATACATAAAATAAATGCGTTTAAATTAAAACATCAGCAAGGAAAAAAAGTTCAGGCTCAGGAATTTTTTCCACTATCAGCCCTGAAAGTAAATAATCACTTTTTACAGTGTATAGTGCACATGTCGTATGGGTCAACTGCTACATTTTATTTCTAATTTATTGTTGTAAAAAATTAAATAACACAAAGATTAATAAATAATGAATAGGTTTTAAGTTTTGAGTGCACTATTCCCTTCACACCGAACTTTCCAGTCGTCATACTTATTTCAGATCCTATAAAACAAATAGCATAATCACATTATGTACATGGTTCAATGCATCTGTTATCTGCCCACAGACGGATGTGTCAGGATCTGGCTCAGCTCAGAGAGTCCTGCGCGCAGTTTGAGGAGCTGCAGAAGGAAAACACACAGCTCGCTTCACTCAACGCTGAGAGCAAAGCCCAGATTGACTCCCTAACAAAGGTCGGTGCAGTATTCAAAAGTGTTTGTGTGCGAGATCTTAACGATAAAAGCAATTACTATAGCGCCTCAGCACACAATATTTCTGCAATTATGTTTGCCTGGAGGTCCCATTGAGCTGAGATCTCGCAAAATGGCCCACTTTGAATATTCCCTTTCAGCCAGGTAATTGTTTTCGGGTTGCTTTCTTATCTGAAAATCCTCAGCGCAATTAGATTTAGCCTCCTCGGACAGCTGTGCTGAAAATGCATCTTTGCGAGATTAATGAAATCTGTTATTGCTCAGGTTTTCCTGAAGAGGATAGTCGGTTCTCAGTAATGCCGGTTAGATACTGACTTTAAAGGGCACCTATGGTAAAAAATCTACTTCTCAAGCTGTTTGGACAGATGTTGGTATAGTGTATAGACCACCATACTGGGGTGATATGAACACACCCAGTCCTTTTTTTCCAATTTAACTACAAAAAAAAGGGTCGGCCAATTGGAGCTGTTTTTAAATCGATCGCACCATTACGTAGGTGTGCGATCCCCCCGCCCACCGAATTGATTGACAGCTGCGCGCATTAACATGTTCCGGTAGTCGCGTGTATATGTCAACAAGACCAGACAGACATACGCAAAGCAACCGGGAATAAAAGGTCTGTTCTGTTCGCTAGGATCAGCAAGCATCATCAAATGTGATTAAGAGCAGGGGCGTTGCTAGGGTCGAAAGGGATAAGGGGCTTAGCCCCAAAGAACCCCCCCCCCTCCCAAAAAAAAGAAGTTTTAATTCGCCGCACTAATATACCTAATCTAATCTTATTAACAGGATTAAAAATGGTTAATAAAAAATAAAGGGTTTTTAAGACTTGTAAAATCCAAATAGGAAAAAAACTAGTCTGTTATGAGCCATATCATACCTCTTGAGCCTCCTATCTCCTCCTGATTTGAAGTTTCTGTTTGTTTTTTGAAAATGTAATTTTCTGCATGTCTTCAAATCTGAAAATATGATTTATTTTTATAGTGTGAGCTGTTATCTAATGTGATACAAAGCTACAAACATGTTCATTTGGACAGAGTGATTAACTGAGGTGTAGTGTTGTCAAAATAATGGAATTTCTAAATTCAATACCTTGCAAAATATTGATATTCAATAGGCTACTATTTTTTTTTCATAATAACAATTCTATCAAAAATAGTAGGCTAGCTAAGGCTACAAAAAATAAAAATAAAGATCTATATGCTAGAAATATGTTTACTTTAAATTTCTTCAGAGGGATTTTTTTTTCAGTTTTCCTCAAAATAGGGTGATGTGGGCATTGTAGCACTTTAAATGCATGTAAAGCCTGTTTTATTCATACTTGAGCAGAAATTCCATATATATTCTTCACAAAAGTAGTAGAACATTCTAGGAAATCCCTTATATGGATGAAGGCATCCAGCTGTTGCTGTAATAGAATAAAAATACGATCTGAATAAAAATAAAAAGGCTTTAACTGATCATTTACACGACTGCGACAATAAATGTTTTATACAGTTGAAGTCAGAATTATTAGCCCTCCTTTGAATTTTATTTTCTTTTTTAAATATTTCCCAAATGATGTTTAACAGAGCAAGGAAATTTTCACAGTAGCCTATGTCTGATAATATTTTCCTTTTGAAGAAAGTCTTATTTGTTTTATTTCAGCTAGAATAAAAGCAGTTTTACATTAAAAAAAAAAACATTTTAGGGTCAAAATTATTAGCCCCTTTAAGATTTTATATATTTTTCCTATAGTCTACAGAACAAACCATCGTTATACAATAACTTGCCTTATTACCCTAACCTGCCTTTAAAGCCTTTAAATGTCACTTTAAGCTGTATAGAGGTGTCTTAAACAACGTAGTCAAATATTATTTACTGTCATCATGGCAAAGATAAAATAAATCAGTTATTAGAGTTGAGTTATTAAAACTAATATGATTAGAAATGTGCTGAAAACAATATTCTCTCCGTTAAACAGAATTTGGGGGGAAAAATAAACGGGGGCTAATAATTCAGACTTCAACTGTGTGTTCTTCCAACCATTTTAGGCATTTTCATAAGAAAGTCGATTTATAATTTGATTCAAACTGACATAGCATGTTACAGTAGAATATAGCTATATAATAATAAGCTAGATGCATAAACTCACTGTGATTTAACTATTACAGAAACAGATGTGACTTGCTATATCATATAAATATATCATATCTAGAAAGCTAGTACAATTTACGTTTTTTTTACTTGTATTTACATTGATATGATGCACATTTTACTGATTATAGTTATTTTATGTCACCAAAACTACACACATTTTATACTGTGGAAACAAGCTTCATCAGTAGTTAAAACTATTTAGTTTCGCGAAAGAGTTGTATTATTACCTCATTAGCTTCAGCTCCTCAAAATAATAAATGAATGATGTGCAGTGGCGGGATTTTTTAAACACCATGTGACAACAGAGCCACTCCCACCTGCCGGTAGAAACAGGTACTGCTGAACAACTGACGGTTTAATTACCTGACACAAACGCTGCGTTAAGTGGAATGTTCGTGATGTATGTGGTAATTTTTGGTACTTGCATAACAAAATAAATGTTATACAACATATTTTTATTTAAGTGCAACATATTCCAAGAGATCAGGGGCTTTTGACAATACATCAGGGGCTTAAGCCCCCAAAGCCCCCCCCTCGCAACGCCCCTGATTAAGAGAAAGTTTCACATGTTTAAAGTGTTTTAAAACAGAGTACGTGTGTAATTAATTACAGCGTTTTACTTCAGCTTTACTTCATCAGCACAGCCGCGTGTCAGAACAATTATAAAAGAAGAAGCTTCAATCCTGGTTTGTGGAAGTTAAATCAGGCTTATTTTGTACATTAGCATAACAGATATCCACACTTGAGGTTAGCCTTAACTAGGCTAAGCGCGCTCTGTCTGTCTGCCTGCCTGCGTGTGTGTGTATCATCTGCGGTGTGTGTGTGTGTGTGTTTGTGTGTGTGCGCGCGTTAACTTTGTAACGATATTGTGTGTGACTCATCAATGCAACTTCTCACTACAGTAAGAACTAACCTTTACTAATCAGTATTATCTCACAAACGCTACGTGAGACCTTCTTCCTTTAAGTCTGTCTGTTGTCTGACGCAGCTGAGGGAGAAGGCATGTAGAAACAGTGGGCGGGAAAGACTTGTCTTAAAGGCGCAGTACGACAAAACCACCCCCTGCTGGAAATCAGTATAAAACAGCATCTTGTAAAAGGTATAATGAAAAATCTGATGGGTATTTTGATCTGAAACTTTATATACACATTCTAGAGACGCAAAAGACTTATATTAAATCTGAAAAAAGGGGTAACCTAGGTGCCCTTTAAATATGGCAAGAAACGGAAGTTGTGATCAAATTTTCTTGCATTATAGTGTGATATATTGACAAAAAAATTGTATCTTGTTTTATTTAGGATTTTTGGTTTCACTTTAGATTAAGTGGCCTAACTACTAGGTAATTTCATCAAAATATAAATACATTGTACTTAGGGGCTGATCACACCAAACGTGCATTTACGTTATAAAAACGCGAGGCTTGTCTTGTTGACAAGAAAAAAGGAGCGCGGTGCGCCTTTTTATGTCGCTAGGCAACGACTAAATCAGCTGGGTATTTTGCGAGCGTGTTGCTGTTAATATTAAAATAACTTTCATATCTGATAATATTGTAAAATTCACGATTTGAAGTCATACAGCTCCGTTTAACTCAGAACAGCAACCACAAGTCTCTTTTCCATCTTTAAGTCTCCCTTGTTGTCTTGACAACATAAAAACCCAGCCTCTGCTTTCATTTGATTGTAGAATGAACGCAACTGACGTAACACGCTTTTACCACTCAGAGTTGACTTTTTTTTTCAACTGCGTGCACAAGACGTGCAAGGCAAAAACGTGAGGCGCAGCAGGCCAATTAAAAAAAGGCTCCTCTCAACGCAAAAATCGCATTGGGTGTGATCGGCCCCTACTGTGCTTATAATGTACTAAAGAGCACTTCTGCTGCTCTTAAGGTGGGATACGGGTAGGGTCAGGGACAGGTTTGGCGATATGGGTAGGTTTAAGGTTGGGTTAAGGTAAGGGATGGGTCAACAATGTAATTATAAATGTAACTACATAAATAAATTATATATAGGTATTTATAAGATAAGTACTATGGAATGGGGCAACATGGTGGCACAGTGGTTAGCACCGTTGCCTCACAGCAAGAACGTTGCTGGGTCAAGTCCCGACTGGGTCAGTTGTCATTTCTGTGTGGAGTTTGCATGTTCTCCCCGTGTTGGCGTTGGTTTCCTTTGGGTGCTCCGGTTTCCCTAACAGTCCAAACACGTGGTGCACAAGTGAATGGAATACACTAAATTGACCGTAGTGTATGAGTGTGTGTGTGCATGAATGAGTGAGTATGGATGTTTCCTAGTACTGGCTTGCAGCTGTACGGGTGTCTGCTGTGTAAAACATATGCTGGATAAGTTGGCGGTTCATTCCCCTGCGGCGAACATTGATGAATAAAGACACTAAGCTGAAGGAAAATTAATGAATGAATTATTAAAATGAAAAAACATGTACTTACACAAAGTGAAGTTTCACAAATAGATTTTCGAGAAGAGCATGTGATATGATTGATTGCAGCTGGTTTCTCATCTGTAATCATTAGTCGCCACTGGCTTGCATGGTTCAGGATTGGTAGAGCTACGCATCGATGAATTTGCTCTTCAGTGTTTGAACTCTCAGCAATGATTTTAAACTGAACTGAACTGAACTTAAACACTAAAAACTGAACTACACTGTTCCAGTTACTATGACCATTTATGTGAAGCTGCTTTGACACAATCTACATTGTAAAAGCGCTATACAAATAAAGCTGAATTGAATTAAAATTGAATTAAGCCAATCAGATCATTCCAAACTTACTATAAACAGCACGACTAGTATAACTTTCTCATCTTTGTTTTTTTTTTTGAAGAATTCCCCCATCCACCCCATCTCCACCTTTCCTCCTTTACCATGTGGAGCTTTCAAGAACTACCGGAACTCGTACCCCCTCACATGCTCATTGACCAGGAGGGAGCCCTGGGCTCAATCATCTCTGAGCTTACGGTTCTCTCCCAGGACAACATGCCAAACGTGCTATTATTATTAAGCAATAGCTAAGTGTGAACTCTTGAAAAGTACATTTTAACAAATGACTTTTTAGCAGCATCTCTCTCAGCCATGGGACCTCTGTTTCTCTGGGGTATGTGTTTGTGTGTGTGTGTGTTCGAAGCTGGAGTGGGACACATATAACCAACTAGTGATCATGATTGGTGTGTCTGTGCACGTGAACTACACGGGAACTGTAGTAATGATAATATTCATAATGACATGTTGAATTTGGAGCGTAGTGGGTAGCACAATCGCCTCACAGCAAGAAAGTCACTGGTTCGAGCCTCGGCTGAGTCAGTTGGCATTTCCGTGCAGAGTTTGCATGTTCTTGCTATGTTAGCGTGGGTTTCCTCCGTGTGCTCCATTTTTCCTCACAAGTCCAGAGACATTTGGTGTAGGTGAACTGAATAAGCTAAATTGGCCGCAATGTATGTGTGTGAATGCAATGGTGTGTATGGGTGGTTCCCAGTGTTAGGTTGCGGTTGGAAGGGCATCTGCTACTTATATGCTGGTCAAGTTGGCGGTTCATTCCGCTGTGGCGAACTCTGATTAATAAAGGGACTAAGCCGAAAAGGAAATGAATGAATGAATAATTGTTGAATTTGAGTGGATGTTTGTTTCTCATGTTGTCCCATAACAATATTATTTATTTTATTGTCATTTGACAAATTAGATTTTTTTTTTAAATTAACGCAATAGTTACTTTCCCTGGTAATTAGATACTTTTAATATTATGTTACTGAGTTACTATTTGTGAGAAGTAACTAGTAACTATAACTAATTACTCTTTTAAAGGATGTGCCCATCACTGGAGAGCAGTAGTACTTTAAGACATGCTTTTATGCATGCATTGCTGTTCACTCCTCCATTCCTCCACAATAATAATAATATTTTACTCGCAAACAGGATCTGGCTAATGAGAGCGCCCAGTCCCGAGAGTTATCCAATCAGATCACACAGCTAAACAAAACTCTTGAAGAACTGAAGACCAGGCTTCAAATGGCATCACAGCAAAGATCCACTCCAGAAGTTGCTTTATCACCTCCTGACTCGCGTGTAGAGAGTGTCGAGGGTTGTGAATCAAACAGACATTCTGCAGACCGCCAGGAGGACACTGTCAGTACTGCAGATAAGGTGAACCACAACCAGAGCTCCAGGCCTGCAGACTTTATCTCTGCTGGAGAAGATGATGAAAACACAAGGAGCAAACAACCGCACACAACGGCAGAGGCTGGGTGCCAGGAGGCACTGAGTCAACGGCTGATAAACACAGAGCGTGAGGTGAGATAAAGTGAAAAACACTCATTGAATGTTCACTCTATACGTGTCTTCATTTAAACGCCATTCAGAGATTGAGAGTGCATTTGCATGTTGAAATCAGGTGGAAAGTAATGCATTACATTTACTTTGTTACATTTACACGTGTCAGCTTTTAAATGTTTTAATTTATCAATATTTATATAACGGGGCGACGCAGTGGCCAAGTAGGTCGTGATGTCTCCTCACAGCAAGAAGGTCGCTGGTTTAAGCCTCGGCTGGGTCAGTTGGCGTTTCTGTGGGGAGTTTGCATGTTCTCCCTGCGTTCACGTAGATTTTCCTCGAGAGCTCCGGTTTCCCCCACAGTCCAAAGACATGTGGTACAGGTGAATTGGGTAAGCTAAATTGTCCTTAGTGTAGATTGAGTGTGTATGGATGTTTCCCAGAGATGGGTTGCAGCTGGAAGGGCATCCGCTGCATAAAACATATGCTGGATAAGTTAGTGGTTCATTCCGCTGTGGGGACTCCAGATTAATAGAGGGACTAAGCCGAAAAGAAAATGAATGAATGAATATTTAAATAACAGTCGATTTATTTACGTCGCTATGTGCTCCTCTGAAATTATAATAAACATGAGATTTTGAATAAGTAGATAATACATTTATACATGCATACACATACATATTGTTCATTCTATATTATACATGCATTTTATTTTAGCATTACATTATACATATATTATAATGTTATACATATGTTACACTGTTGAGTACATTTTTCACATTTTTTACTGGCCTTACTTACACTCCTACTTAACCCTAGAGCAACCCAGGAAAAAAAATTGTTAGGTTTCTTGGGGTCCACCTGACCCCAAACATTTACAGATACAGGGAAATCTACATTTTATATGATAAACTATACATCTTTTTTACAGTCATTTCTCAACTTTGTATTTATGCTGTGCTTGTGTAGATATTTTATACTTTTTAACCTATTTACTACACAAACATGCAACTATGGGTTGCAGCTGGAAGGGACTTGTCAGCTGCTTTTGACACTGTCAACCACCAGATCCTGCTATCTACGCTTGAGTCACTGGGCGTTGCGGGCACTGTTATACAATGGTTTAGATCTTACCTCTCTGACAGGTCATTCAGGGTGTCTTGGAGGGGAGAGGTGTCCAACCTACAGCATCTAAACACTGGGGTACCTCAAGGCTCTGTTCTTGGGCCACTTCTCTTCTCCATCTACACATCATCTCTAGGACCAGTCATCCAGAGACATGGATTCTCCTACCACTGCTATGCTGATGACACCCAGCTATACCTCTCTTTTCATCCTGATGATCCCTCGGTTCCAGCTCGTATCTCAGCCTGCCTGTTGGATATTTCACACTGGATGAAAGATCATCATCTTCAGCTGAACCTCGCAAAAACGGAAATGCTTGTAGTTTCTGCCAACGCGACTCTACACCATAACTTTTCAATCCAGATGGACGGGGCAACCATTACTACATCCAAAATGGTGAAAAGCCTTGGAGTAACGATTGATGACCAACTAAACTTCTCTGACCACATTTCTAGAACTGCTCGATCGTGCAGATTTGCACTCTATAACATCAGAAAGATCCGACCCTTCTTATCTGAACATGCAGCTCAACTCCTTGTTCAAGCTCTTGTTCTCTCCAAACTGGATTACTGCAACTCTCTACTAGCTGGGCTTCCAGCTAACTCTATCAAACCTCTTCAACTGCTCCAGAATGCAGCAGCACGAGTTGTCTTCAATGAACCTAAACGAGCACATGTCACTCCGCTGCTAGTCCGTTTGCACTGGCTGCCAGTTGCTGCTCGCATCAAATTCAAAACTCTGATGTTTGCCTACAAAGTGACTTCTGGCCTAGCACCTTCTTATCTGCACTCACTTCTGCAGATCTATGTGCCCTCCAGAAACTTGCGTTCTGTGAATGAACGTCGCCTCGTGGTTCCATCCCAAAGAGGGAAAAAATCACTTTCGCGAACGCTCACGCTCAATCTGCCCAGTTGGTGGAATGAACTCCCTAACTGCATCAGAACAGCAGAGTCACTCGCTATTTTCAAGAAACGACTAAAAACTCAACTATTTAGTCTCCACTTCACTTCCTAAGCTGCAATTGCCTCTTTGAATATCACACTAATTGTACAAAAAAAAAAAAAAAAAAAAAAAAAAAAAAAAAAAACTACTAACACTTCCCTTCTTAGACTTTACAGACCTGAAACTTGCCTTTAGTACTTATTCATTGTTGCTCTTAGTTGTGTAAATTGCTTCCTTGTCCTCATTTGTAAGTCGCTTTGGATAAAAGCGTCTGCTAAATGACTAAATGTAAATGTAAATGTAAACTACACCATAATTTGGCTTCTGAAAAATCACAAAAATTCTAACCTAAATTTGATATAAAAGGTTTATGGATATATTTTAGAAATATTTTAGGTTTGTAGACACCCTTTCGGGTTATATATTATTCCTTTTATATATTAGGCTATATTTCTTGATGCTTTAGAAAACTTTTCTTAACAAATAGATGATATATATATTCATTACACAACCTGACAAAACTCTTGTCTCCCATCTCAATTGTAAGATCAACAAATAATAACTTGACTTCTAGTTGATTATTTGGAAAAGTGGCAGAAGGTTGATTGTTCTGATGAATCACCTTTTGAGCTGCATCCCTATCATCACAAATACTGCAGAAGACCTACTGGAACCCACATGGACCCAAGATTCTTACAAAAATCACTTAAGTTTGGTGAAGGAAAAATCATGGTCTGGGGTTACATTCAGTATGGGGGCATGCGAGTGGACCTGCAGAGTGGATGTCAACATTGACAGCCTAAAGACATTTGTGCTGCCCATTACATTACAAACCACAGTTGAGGGCCAATTCTTCAGCAGGATAGTGCTCCTTCTCACACTTCAGCCTCCACATCAAAGCTCCTAAAAGCAAAAAAGGTGCTCCAGGATTGGCCAGCCCAGTCACCAGATATGAACATTTCTGAGCATGTCTGGACTAAGATGGAGGAGGCATTAAAGATGAATCCAAAGAATCTTGATGAACTCTAGGAGTCCTGCATGAACGCTTTCTTTGCCATTCCAGACGACTTTATTTGTAAGTCATTTGAGTCATTGCAGAGATGTGTGGATGCAGTCCTCCAAGCTCATGGGAGTCATTCACAATATTCATTCTTTCTCCACTGCAGCATGACTTTATATTCGATACTGGACATTAATTCTGTTATGTGACAAGACTTTTGTCAAAGCAAAGTCAGACCTTACTGTCCTAATAAAATCATTAGAAATCAAGGCATTTTCATATTTTATTTTGGTACTATAAGTGTAATCTAGTGGCCTTTGCCTTTCAAATAAGCCACCTCTGATACCAAATGATCAACTAGAAGTCAAGATATTATTTGTTGGTTGTAAAACTTGGATAGGCGACAAGACTTTTGTTAGGTAGTGTTAAATACATGTAAATGTTCTTACATAAAAAAAAACAAAATATTCAAAACTTTAAGGATTTAAGATGCTGATGACTGTTAAACACGTCATAACAGTCTTGTAAAAAGACTCCATTGAGAAAAGTATTCTTACTTGTACCATTGATTCGTTTGACTTGTACTTGAGTGAAATGTGATCCCACTTTACCCACCTGTGTCTGAAATGCATGCCTGTGGTTGAATCCCAGAATGCCGTGCTGCAGCGAGAGCGTGAGGTGTTGGTTTCTCAGCTGACTCAGTCTCAGTCGGCCTGCTCTCAGCTTCGAGAGCAGCTGGACACCCTGCAGCGCCACTCCATCTCACTGCAAGAAAACGGAGCTAAATTACAGGCCCTCAACACCAAACTGCAGGTGAGTGCTTGATTGAGTGTGGGTTGCGGATCTCCGATAGGACCCTCGATGCTGAAATAAAGACCAGGGTATTTTAGAGACTGACATTTGTTTAAATCCATATTAGCTTTTATGGTGGGCGGACGTGCTGTTTCAGTCATAGCGTTGACGGAGCACCACTTTATACTTTACAGGCCTCTCATAAACGTGTTATTTACACCCAGATGAGCACATGCAGACTACATGGGCTTTGTTTGAACATTTCTTTCACTCAGATAGATCTCTCTGAGTGCTGAACATCAGTTTTGACACATTGTTGTAGTTTTAGTTTATTCACATGAGAGGCCAAACAGAAACTGTTCTTCTGGGGAAAAATAAAAGGCCACTTTAAATGTAAAATATACCAGGTTTTCAGAACTTTAATATAGTTAAATGCTAAACATATATGTATATACCAAGCGGCAACATCCTGCTCTCCCTTGTGAAACTAATACGTATAATCATATTAACAACACAGGATGTGCGTATTGGGATTAAAAGATCTGTTCAGCTCTCTGTGATCATCAATCATCATCAAATGAGCTTTACAAGTTTAAAACGTTTTTAAAAGCGTGCATGTTTGTAATGAGTTACAGTGATTTTACCATCTTTATCACCACAGTCGCATGTCAGTATAATTATAAACGAAGAGGCTTCCACAAATCCCGGTTTGTGGACGGTAAATCAGGTTTATTCGTACATTAACACAATGGATATTCATACAGCAGTGGATATTAACGTATATCCCGTCACATTTGCTGTGCAAAAACAGTGCAAATTTAAACATGCGCTGTTTGTGTGTGTCTGCTGTGCATGTGTGTTTGTGTGCGTGTATGTGTGTGTGTGCGGGAACTTTGTAACAACATTGTGTGTGACTCATCGTTGCAACTCCACAACAAATACATTTAATAATCATTGGGAAAGTTCTTACCTTCTGGCACAATATGGCTGCCATTGCGTCATCTAAATGGATGCTGCACACTGGTGGCGCTATATAAAAATGTAAGGAATAATTATTATTATAATTATATTAATAATAATAATAATAATTATTATTATTATTATTATTAAAACTCAGGAGACTAATAGAGAAAACCATCAGGGTAAACTACTGATGAAATTTCTTGTAAATTCAAAATGAAAATTTCGTCATTTAGAGCATTTTTAAATGTAATTTTGTAAACTACTGATGACATTTCTTTTTCATTTGAAATGAAAATTCTGTTGTTTGAGGCAGTTTTTGTTTCTCTCAGGTGGAGCAGGCGTCTCTGAGGGCTGAACATGCGTCGACTTTAACACGTTGCAGTGAGAGCGAATTGCGCTGTGCAGCTCTGGAGGCGGAGTCAAGGGCATGGCTTAAGGAGAAGGAGGAGTCAGTGATGCGGCTGGAGGCAGTAAGACGGGATCATGAGAGATTGACAGCTCTGCAGCAGAGGCAGGAGGCGGAGTTAGAGGAGCTGCTCGTCAAGCACAGTCAATTGAAAAGCAGCCATCGCAGTCTAGAGGCTCAATGTAAAGACACTGAAGTCAGGTACAATGATTAGAGGAAATGTAGAGAATACATTTTAAATTAAATAACTTATTTACAGTTGAAGTTGAAATTATTCTCCCTCCTGTGATTTTTATTTTCTTTTTCAAATATTTACTAAATGATGTTTAACAGAGCAATTTTTCACAGTATTTACTATATATTTTTTTCCTCTGGAGAAAGTCTCATTAGTTTTTTTTCAGATAGAATAAATTCAAATTTTTAAGGTCAATATTATTAGCCCTCTTAAGCAAAATTTGTTTTGTATTGTCTACAGAACAAACCCCTGTAATACAATGACTTGCCTAATTAACCTAGTTATATCTTTAAATGTCACTTCAAGCTGAATCCTAGTAACTTGAACAATATTTAGTAAAATATTATTTACTGTCATCACGGCAAAGATAAAATAAATCAGTTAGAAATTAGAAATAAGTTATAAAAACTATTACGATTAGAAATGTGTTGAAAAAATCTCTCCGTTAAACAGAAATTGGGGAAAAAAATAAACAGGGGGCTAATATATATATATTACACGATCGCCTCACAGCAAGAAGGTTGCTGGTTCGAGCCTCCACTGGGTCAGCTGGCATTTTTGTATAAAGTTTGCATGCTCTTACTGTGTTGGCCTGGGTTTCCTCCAGGTGCTCCGGTTTTCCCCACAAGTCCAAAGATGTGCACTATAAGTAAATTGGGTAGGCTAAATTGTCCGTAGCGGATGTGTGTGAATGAGAGTCTATGGGTGTTTCCCAGAGGTTGCAGCTGGAAGTGCATCTGCGTAAAACATATGCTGGATTAGTAGGCAGTTCATAGCGATTTGGCCACCCTAGATTAATAAAGGGGCTTAGCCGAAAAGAAAATGAATGAATTATATATATATATAGTATTTTGTATAGTCTTGGCCATTTGTTCCAGAATTTATTTTTAAATTCAATCTAATAAAATATTTACACAAATAATTATTCTGAATAACCTTTATTTTCTGAATGACAATGAATTGAATTTTTAAAAAATAGTTAGCACATATTAATATATTTTTGGAGTTTTATGACATCTAAAAAATGTACATGTATTAGTTAAAAAGTAAAAAATACTATAAAATATAAAAAAAATAATAAAAAGTTAAAATATACATTAATAATAACCCTTTTTATTAGGTTAATTAAGTTCATGTATTTACAATTATTACAGAATAATTATGTCTGCTAACATTAGTTAATGAAAATAAAGTTGCTCATTGTTGTGCATTAGTGCATTAACTACTTAACTATTGTTAATAAGCATAGCATTGGATATTTATAATCCATTATTAGTTAGTTATTAATAAATGCTGTGCAATTGCTCATTTTTAGTTCACGTTAACTAACATACTAACAACTAACTAATGCATCCTTATTGTAAAGTGTGACCATAAGTATTACAGTATTGGTCTGTTGTTGATAAAGTCATGTTTATTAAGATCACACAAAGCATGATCATGAAAAAACCTAATTATCCATTAACTAGTGCTTCATTTAAGGGAAACATTCATTTAAATCTCGCTAAATACTCTAAAATACTGTACCTGTCCAGATATAAGGAGCTGCTGGAGCGAAAAGCGCAGCTGGAGGAGGCAGAGGAATCGATACGCGTGGAGAGACAGAAAATGGAGAAAGTGACACAAGGGCAGCTGGAGAACGAGAAGGAGCTGGAGAGACTGAAAATGGACAATGAAAGGTGAGAGATAGTTATAATTGCACTCACCGCCACCACAACACTGGGCTGAAGTTACAGCAGAGCAAATTCATGGGAAAGAGTGAGGAAGTGAAGGTGACGGTTCAGCCAGATTCACCACAGCGTGAGTCACTTCACTGTAGTTTCTAGAAGCCGTTGGCATGGCGTGACAACTTGCCAAAAACATTTGTAAAGCTTGTTGCTTTGGTGAACAGGATGAGAGAAAAAAAACACATGCACACAACCCAGGAGGAGCTTTTGTTCAGTGGGATAAGAGTGGCGGTGTGGTGCTTTGATCAGTTGTCTAGATGAATGGACAGAGGCTTGACTGATAAAAAAAACTCAGTTTCACTGCAAACCAAGATATATATTCAGCTTTAGTTACACACACACAAAAAAATGTAATAAACACTGTAAAAAGCGATTAGTTGACTTTACTTTTTAATTCAACCTAGGCTCATTCTGAAAACGTAGCCTTATATACATTACTGGAGATCATGAATTATGTAGCCAGAAGTACGTATGGCTGCAATTCGTCTTTAAAATAAACGATATGGAGCAGTATGACCAGTACTTAATTAGTGAATCACAAGGTCCCGCATCAGATTAGGGTAATGGATCCGAGATTATTCGAGGATGCAGAGGTGCACGAAAGTGGAGAGCGGGGGGGTGTTGGGTGTGAAAGTGGTATTGGGGGGCGTTGGATGGCGGAGGGGTGTCGCGGACGAAGGACGAAAGTAAAGAGTGGGGGGGGTTGTTGCGGACGAAGGTTAAGAGGGTTGGGGAGTCGCGGAAGCAAGTGAAAGTGAACAGCGAACGGGGGAAGAGGGCGGCAAAGATTGGTTCCAGAAATTGGGAAAGACAAAAACAGAAGCCAAAAAATTAAATAAACAAGTAAATAACAGGGTGAGAATGTGGTAAAATCTGAAAACGTGGTAAAAATCAGGCGAGGGCTTTTCTTTTTCTGGATTTATTTTGAGAGTAAACTTGTTGCCGTATAATTATTATATAAACAAAGTACGTACATAGTTCTAAAATTTAAGTCAATGGGTTCACTAAATTTTTAAAGTAAAATCAACTCGTTGCTTTTAATGCAGTGGGTTTACTCTCTTTTTTTTTTCAAAGTAACTAAAAGTAAACTTTTTACAGTGTACAGTGGCAAAAATCATCCTCAAAGTATTATTAATTTCTTATGAGAAAAAAAACATCAATTAGAGCTTTGTCAGACTCACATGAGATTGTAGCTTTTTAATCTAGAAGCTTTTTTGTTTTGTTGATGATACAAAGAAATCTTGTAGTATAGTTTAAGCTTTTATTAAGCGAAGAGCCATACATAGTAACTAGGGGTGGGATGGTTCACAAAATTGTAAATTTGATTCGTATCACAGATCAGTAGTCACATTGCTCAATACACACAGGATGCACAGCAATACACAAATATCTTTACATATGAAACAAATTAAAGGATTAAAATGAATATAATAAATAACAAATATAAATAAATATAAAAGCCACTGCCTCTATGCCTCATCTCGGGGGGCTTTTTCAGTTTTCAGTTTTCAGTTTAGTCATGACAACTTGCTTTTGTATAATGTTATTATTATTAGCGTATGGAGACGTATGCATCCCCATATGGGGCATAAAAATAGTAACTCATTTTTTTGACAACACTTCATTAATATTGTTCATTTATTCGTTTAACATATTATTATTAATTTAGAAATTGTTTTGAAACAAATCTTTGTGCTTAACAAACAAAATTATTTATGTAGGCTAATTGATATCGTCAATGGAGTGCGTACAACACCGTTTCCTTCTCCACAAAAGTAAAGGAGTAAAGAGTAAAGGTAAAAAGGCCGAATGGAGGAGGCTCGTTGTTAATCATAATGCTGCAGATGCTCTGTTTATGTGCCATAAACAAATGTGCCATGGTGCAATGCAACTGACTCTAAAGGAAATGGGAGATGAGACTAATTGGTTTAATGCCCATTATGCTCAAAACACACCTAGAACTCCTATTAAGAGAATAAGCACAACCCTGTTAGACCATGCGCCATGGCGCAGACCATATTTATCCGTCCTTAAAATAGCCAAAGTGGATTCCTTTAATGCTTTTGCGCCATGTGATTTAGACTTTGCACCTAGATTGTTAAAATGGAGCCCTAACAATCTCAGACTGTTAAATAGGGTCATTCTGACATTATTTTGCAGCTGGAAAGGTGTGCGCGACATAAAAAAAACATATGCCAGAGTAATTGGTGGTTCATTCCACTGTGGCAACCACTGATAAATCAAGGACTAAGTCAAAGGAAAGTGATTAAGCGTGTGAGTGACTTTATGCTACATGCATGCCGCCTATATGTTGCAGTGCAAGAACATATTGAATTGCTTCTGTCATGTCTTGCTGGAATCTTTTAACTAATATAATCTGTAGCATGCAAGTTAGCAGCATTAACTGTGAAAGAGATGCTGTAAACTCTGGAGAAATGAACAAAGTTAAACCGTGATGGGACAGAATAGCCTGAAGTGGGCTGTAACAATAGTGACGTAGTACACTCAAAATAGTGAGTGCGGTTAGAGCGAGAAAGCTGCAGAAGGCACATATCCATAGTGTGGCATCACATATTTCTGTCAGAAACCAAAACACTCCCAACAATCTCTTTGAATGTATGATTAAAAAATAAACATTTATTAACATTGATGGCAATATACATTTAAGTCATAAAAGTACATTTTATTTTTTAATAAGTATTTCCACGAGTGCCCTATAAAGGAGTGATTCAGCAGTTTTTGTATAGTTTGATGTTATTGTGCAGATTGGTTCTGTTGATGATCTGCATATGTTGTAGTTTGGTTTAATTGTGCTTTGCTGATGGTGTGCAGATATCTGAGCCTGCAGAAGGAGTGGGTTCAGGTGCAGTCGGAGCTGCTGGCCCAGAGCTCAGTTCTGCGGGCGGAGCTGAGTTCAGCTCAGCTGGAGAGAACCCGACTGGAAGGAAAACTCAACTCTCTGAAAGAGCAGAACCAGCAGCTCGACCTCAACCACGTGCGGCTCAGCAGCCAGTACCAGGTCTGAGATCACAGTTTATACATTGTTTCACAAGTGCTTATATTACTTATTGTTTATATAATGATTGTTATATTTGTACATAAAATCTTTTTTTAAATTAATACATACAGTTGAAGTCAGAATTATTCGCCCTCATGTTTATATTTTTCCCCTATTTCTGTTTAACAGAGAGATTTTTTTCAGCACATTTCTAAACATAATAGTTTTAATAACTCATTACTAACGACCGATTTATTTTATCTTTGCCATGATTACAGTAAATAGTATTGTACTAGATATTTTTCAAGACTCTTCTATACAGCTTAAAGTGACATTTAAAGGCTTAACTAGGTTAATTAGATTAATTAGACAGATTAGGGTAATTAGTAGGCCCACGCGGAATCTGCACGCGCAGAATTTTGCAGAAATTCCACAGAAGTCTGCAGATTTTTAGCCGATAATTTATTCTGTTTATTTACGTGTGTAAATGTGTGTAAATTTATTTGTATTCAGTTTTTAAATTAAGTACAGTAAGATTATTGATTAAAATTAAAATGTTCATCTGATTTATGTACAATGCAGTTTGTACAGTAATATTTTCTGTCTTTTAGTGGAGATATTATATGAGAGACTTGCTTTGTTTACCAAATAAAGTGAATCTAATTAGATTTGCAGTTTAAACATTAAATAAAAGTTAAAAAGGTTTTACTTTTTGTTTCACATATTAAGGTTTTAGTTTAGCAGATTTTTACCAATATACTCAGCAGAATAGCAAAAAACTTCCGTCTGGCCCTGCTAATAAGGCAAGTTATTTCATAGTGAGGGTTTGTTCTGTAGACTATCAAAAAAAAATGTAGCTTAAAGGGGCTAATTATATTGATTAAACAAATAAGACTTTTTCTAGAAGAAAAAATAACAGACATACTGTGAAAATTTCCTTGCTCTGTTAAATATCATTTGGGAAATACAAGAAAAAGAAAAAAAATTCAAAATGGGGCTAATAATTCTGACTTGAAGTGTATTTTTACTAAAAGAACATGCTATTGATATCTCTTTCATTAGTCTAGCTAGAAAAAAATCACTATTTCAAGGAAAATATTTTATTCTGATAATAATAATAATTATTATAATATATTATAATGTATTAAGTATATTATTATTATTATTATAAATAAAAAATGGACCGTTTTCTCCTTTAGTTTGGTTCTTTTTGGCATATGTAAAAACAGCAATTGTGCTGATATCTACACCGAAACAATTATATTTGAAGTTTTTTGTCAATGTTTTGAAAAGATCATAATTGAGAAATACGCCAATTTACAACTGTAAATTGTTTAAATAACTAATTTATTCATTCATTAATTTTCTTTTTGGCTTAGTCCCTTTATTAATCCGGTGTCACCACAGCGGAATAACCGCCAACATATCTAGCATGTTTTTACCCAGCGGATGCCCTTTCAGCCGAAACCCATCTCTGGGAAATGCCCACACACTCATTCACACTCATACACTACGGACAATTTAGCCTACCCAATTCATCTATACCGCATGTCTTTGGACTGTGGAGGAAACACCCACGAACGCAGGGAGAATATGCAAACTCCACACAGAAACGCCAACTGACCCAGCTGAGGCTCGAACCAGCAACCTTCTTGCTGTGAGGCGACAGCACTACCTACTGCGTCACTGCGTCACCTTATAACTAATTTATTAGAGATCATATTTTTAATTCATTGGTCATTTACTGTTCTTTATTTTGTTAGCTTATTTAATTATTTTATTTTTGTTATTCATTATTAGATTTAAATTAAAATAATTATAACTGTAATAACACTTTTTAAAAAGTCGTATTACATATACGGTAGTTTTTATATATTCTATATTTTCTGTCCATATAAAAAACACAATTTCAAGGAAAATATTTTATTATAATAATTGACCTGTATGTATTTAAATTGTCTGGTTATTTTAGAAATATGCAAACACAACAATTGTGCTAATATCTACACCAAAGGATAGTAATTAAGCAATACACCAATTTACAATTGTCAATTGTTTAAATAAATTTATAAGAGATTATTTAAAAAATACTATTCTTTATTTTGGGTTTACATTTCACACTGGCACTTTTAAAGGCTAATATTATCATAATAAAAATCTGAGAATAATCAGATCAACTGCAACACAATGTTTAAAAATTGTTTAAAAATGTATGATTTAGGAGGAACTGTTTGTTGTACCACTTATTTATTTGGATAAAAAAATTTATGCTAAATACATAAATGTAATTTAGATAACACTTTAGTTTAAATAGCAATGTTCAATATTACCTAGTGCCTTATTACCTACCTATTAAAGACTCAAGACTGAAAACTCATCTGTTCAGCTGTGCATTTACTGAATGAGCACTGTGCTATGTCCAACAGATCGCACTATTATGTCTTTCTTTTCTTTTTAAATCTTTTATAACCTGTTTTAACACATTTTAAACTGTTTTGAATCAATTTTATTATTTGTTTTTATTTTCCTATACTTGTCTCTTTTATTGCTGTTTATGTGAATGGCCACTGTGTATGAAATGTGCTATATAGTAATATAGTATATAGTACAGTAAATAAACTTGCCTTGCCTATTATTAAGATATGAACTGTTTATAAATACATATTAAGCACATATTCTGCATTATCCTATTCTACATCCCTAATCCTTAATACCTAAACCCAACTACTACCTTAATAACTTTTAATAAGCAGCAAATAAGAAATTTATTGAGCTAAAATTAATAAGTTTGGTTTATTAATAAGAGTTATCCTTAAAAAAATGTGACCGTAATTAATATCTTTATTATTTAGCTTCTCACGCAGCTGAAGGCAAACATGGAGGAGGAGAACCGACATCTAGTGGAGCAGAATCAGAGTCTGGCCAAAGAAAACAAGGCTCTAATGGAGAGCAGCCTGGAGAGCCGAGACCAGCACCACAACCAGCAGAGAGAGTATCTGTACGAACACACACCGCTCACGTCTGTCCACAGCAGCGCATCAGTAAATAACACTCACCTCACCTCCGTCTGTGTGTCTCCACCGCAGGGATAAACTCAACGAGCTGCGCAGGGAGAAGCAGAAGCTGGTGGAGAAGATCATGGATCAGTATCGGGTCCTGGAGCCTGCTCTGCCCGCAATGAGTCCCCTTAAACAAGCAAAGTTAGTCAAGCAATCACAACTAATAATGTAATTTGTAGCAAACGCTGTGTTTTTTCATTGCATCAAACCATACTATAGTACTTGAATCAATCTGAGTTGAATTAACTATAGTGGTATAATACAAAATACGGTCGTTTTCAACATCTATAGGGCATATTATACTACATTAATTTTACTGTTGTAAAAACCGATGTACACCACAGTATTTATAACAGTTTATCAGTTTACTATATTTAATGCTATTTATTAACAAAGCATTTATTCACAAAATGCTGTAAATACTATTACATATACTGTATAAATATAGTATGGTTCAAAAATACTGTAGTATTTAATTGTGTGTTAATATTTGTTTTTACTCACTGTATGCTAAGCACAATCCATGCTCGATGAAAATACATGTCTCAGTCTACTTTTTTTTCAGACAACAGGTCCACTAGAGGGTGATGTCTACATTTCTGCAAATCTAAAATACTTTACTTAGAGTACATTGTTGTCAGATACTCTTCTTGTACATGTCCATGAAAAGGTGTCGCTTGTACAGATCACCTAACACAGGGGTTCTCAAAGTGGGGGTCGGGACGCCTCGAGGGGTCGCGGGACAATGAAGGAGGGTCGCCTGGTGATTTAAAAAAATCTATTTATTATTATTAAATCATATAAGAATGACCATATTTTATCCATAACCTACTTAAGAGAAAAATATAGTCGTTTATAATTACTATATAGTTACTATAGTAGCTTATAGTTACTAGTTCTATTGGATTGCGACCCCAGTGGTAATTACATTATATTAAAGACACAGCAATAGCGTCAGATGCAGCAGATTGATTTTATAACACCAGGTTAAAGTTTCTGGCCCATTTACAGCACTGACATTAAACGAAGAATATCCCTGGGTGTTTTTGTGTGTGTGTGACATTGCATGCAAGATTTCTGTATTCATAACCAGGATATTGGGGGTCGCGAGTCACTGGCATCGTCATATTAGGGGTCGCAGGCTGAAAAGTTTGGGAACCTCTGACCTAACGAACCACTGACCCAAATGCAACCAATAGTGTTTTCAAAAGCAAACTTTTTGAAAACGCCTGAAAAGTGGTCAATATGGAAATATGGAGACAGACAGACAGACAGACAGACAGACAGACAGACAGACAGACAGACAGACGGACGGACGGACGGACGGACGGACGGACGGATGAGCCAACTGTATTCCATTACAAATCATTAGGCTGTCTCCGACTAAAGATATTCTTAGTCGATTTGTAGTCATTCATTAAAGCTAACTAATCTTACGTTTATACATTAAATTTAATTAGGCCAATCTAAGCAAATATTGGGAAATGGTTTGAGTTGGAAACGGGCTGAGAAGTAATGTGATTTTTTTCTTTTATACATAAATACTATATTATAAGCATTAAAATTTAATGTTAAGAACTTGCACATGCATAAAAAGGCACTAAAAAATTATATAATTATGATGATGTTGGAAAAAAAAGTCATATTCTGTGACTAATGAAAACTTGACCAAGCCTATTCTAGGCGACTATCAATTATTAGGGAGCAGCCCTACAAATCATACATCGTAAAGTTGTTTTATGGTATTTATTAGGTGTTGTGCAAAGAACTGCACACAAATAGTCTTTTATTCGTTGATAATGATATGTTTTTGCAAATATCATTAGTGTGAAAAGAAGCTAAATTTATTGGCGCAATACTGCCTCTAGTGTTCATTTTACCTAGCAACTGCAGTCAAACATATGCTGAAGTACATTTTTCAGCTTTAACTAAGCAGTTTTTATTTTGTTTTGTTGTTTTGAACACAGAAGATTTACTGAATACTGTTAGAAACCTGTAACCATTTACTTTCAGTTTAATATTAGTTTTTCTACTATGGCTGTCAAGGTTTACAACATTCTTCAAAATATCTTCTTTTTTGTTCAACAGAAGAAAGAAACCCATAAAGATTTAAAACCTCATGAGGGAAAATAAATGATTTGGTCGTTTAAATTTTGGGGTGAACTACTCTTTTTAAATATTTAATATTATACTATAATTAATTATTCTTTTCTATGTGTTTTATAAATTCTGTCGCTTTTCTATTTGACTTTTCTGACCTGTCTGATCTTTTCCGATCACCTCTTAGGAAGTCGAACTGGATCGCGGACCGCATGAAGAAGCTGATCAAACCTAAAGGTGGAAGTAAAGAAGGCCGAGCTCACTTTATCGCTGCCGGCAGTGTGGAAAACCTGGCAGATGCGGTGGATGGATCAGCCATTTCTCCTGCTTCAGGGCCTGGTGAGACTGTAATAACATTAGATGTATTGTACCACAGAGTGTAAGAGAGTGCCAATAAGTTCAGACTGCAGGTTCCCTGGACTCTGTAAAACACTGAAAGGTCCCCAAAAGCCTGTAACAATGAGTGATGCTGTTAGCCTAGCACATTATGCTGTTCCCTTGGATCACAACCAGATAGTAATTCTGTGTTAATGTGACGGAGCAATGGAAAGGAATCTACAGATCAAATGAATATTGCATTAAGATTTGTGTAAAATAAATACTAAATACTATAACATACAAGTATGGAAATATGTCATACGTTCTATGTACAGTTGAAGTCAGAATTATTAGCCCCTTTTTGATTTTTTTTTCTTTTTTAAATATTTCCCAAATGATGTTTGACAGAGCAAGGAAATTTTCACAGTATGTCTGATAATATTTTTTCTTCTAGAAAAAGTCTTATTTGTTTTATTTCGGCTAGAATAAAAGTAGTTTTGAATTTTTTAAAAACTATTTTTGGGAAAAATTATTAGCTCCTTTAAGCTATTTTTTTTCCGATAGTCTACAGAACAAACCATCGTTATAGAATAACTGGCCTAATTACCCTAACCTGCCTAGTTAACCTAATTAACCTAGTTAAGCCTTTAAATGACACTTTAAGCTGTATAGAAGTGTCTTGAAAAATATCAAGTAAAATATTATTTACTGTCATCATGGCAAAGATAAAATAAATCAGTTATTAGAAATAGGTTTTTAAAACTATTATGCTTAGAAATGTGCTGAAACAATCTTCTCACCATTAAACAGAAATTGGGAAAAAAATAAACAGGGGCGCTAATAATTCAGGGGAGCTAATAATTCTGACTTCAACTGTATATAATATTGGAGAAAACACATAAAATGGCATTATTTTTCACTTTTGTACCAACATTTTAAGTAAATAATTATTATTTTTTAAATATTTGATATTGCACACGGTTTTGTTTTTCCTTCTGTCATAAAAAGTTGTATAGATGTTAAACATAAATCCTCATTAAATTAAAATGCACATATCCAATATAACAATAATATCAAATAGCCAGTTTATGGGTAAAAGGAAAGAAAATTAAACAACAAACTTTATTTTAGTGCAAATATGTTTTAAAAAAGTTTCTCCTCAAATTCTTGTGTGTCTGGATCTTATGTGTTTTTTAAATAATTTTTTTTATTTCAGTGATGATTTTAAAAACATTTGATTCTGACTGTACAACAAAACATGCATACATATAAAATAAATAGGACATTTTGCTGAGTTGATATATTATTATACTATACTATATATTAGTATAGTTTTACAATACATTTAACATTAGTAGATATCGAACACATTAAAATGAGCAATGTATTTGGTATAGTATTTATTAAAAATAATATAACATGTAAATATAAGTGTAAATATAAATTTTATATAAATTAAAATGTTACATTCCATTGTCAATGTTAGTTAATATATAAGATTAATAAATGCTTGGGTAAAACTCATTTGAGAATAATAGGAATTTAAGGGGACAATATGCTTATAATGCTTTAAAAAGGATGTCAAACTCAAGAAGACTTGTCATCTTTAATACTTTAATACTCAACATTACATACAACATAATGTGTTTAATAATCTAAGAATAATTAACTAACATTTACAAAAAAAATGTTGTATATGGTGTTTAACGGAGAGCAGATTTTTAAAAACACATTTCTAAACATAATAGTTTTAATAACTCATCTCTAATTACTGACTTATTTCATTTTTTCCATGACAGTAAATAATGTTTTACTAGATATTTTTCAAGACACTTCTATACAGCTTAAAGTGACATTTAAAGGCTTAACTAGGTTAGTTAGGCAGGTTCAGGTAATTAGGCAAGTTATTGTGTAATGATGGTTTATTCTGTAAACTATCAAAAAATATAGCTTAAAGGGGCTAATAATTTTGACCTTAAATGGTTTTTTAAAAACTGCTTTTATTCAAAATACAAAATACAAAATAAAACAAATAAGACTTTCTAAATAATCTAAAGAAATAATATTATCAGACACACTGTGAAAAATTCCTTGCTCTGTTAAACATCATTTGGGAAATATTTAAAAAAATAATAATAATTAAAGGAGGTTAAATATGTCTTACTTCTATTTTATATAAAAGTCCATAATGATCTTTACCTCACCAGGTAGAGAAAATCAATAAATAAATAAAATGAAAAAAAAAAAAAAAATGAAATAAAAATCTTTATTTTACAACTCACTTTCCTCTATTTGACCCCTCAGTTCATGACCAGGACCCCATCAGCGCTCCAGTCTCTCCAAGCCCGCTGAGGAGAATTTCATATCAAGTTGAAGAAGAGCAACCTAAAGCTAATCTGCGGACCGGACGCCGCAAACTGGGTTCTCGGCATGGCTGGGCTCTGGGCAAAGGCAGAGGAGGAGTTTCTCAGTCCTTCAGTCCAGGAGACCAGCGATCTCAGCCTCGCATCCGCCTGCGCTCCTCTCAGACAGGAGCCTCAGCCCTCTGGGAGCACGACAGCAGCCCTACACCCAGCCAGGACAGCCCCAGTGAAGAGGGCAGAGGTAAACATGATGGTGGAGAGGGGAAATTACATGCATTTGAAAAGATGCTTTTGTGGAAAATATGTAACTGAAAAGATGAATTTGAAAACAAGCATTTGTGGAAAATAAGCATTTGAAAACATGCATTTGTGCAAATTATGCATTTAAAATATGCATTTATGGACAATATGCATTTGAAAACATGCAATTTTGAAAAATTTGTAATTAAAAATATGCATTCAAAAATATTCATTTGTTGAAAATATGCATTTGAAAATGCATTTATGGACAATATGCATTAGAAAACATGCATTTTTTGAAAAATATGCATTTGAGGAAAATATGCATTTATGGAAAATATGCATTTAAAAATATGCATTTGTGAAAATATACATTTAAAAATATGCATTTGTAAAAATATACATTTAAAAATATGCATTTGTGAAAATATACATTTAAAATATGCATTTGTGAAAATATACATTTAAAAATATGCATTTGTGAAAAATAGGCAGTTAAATATTAGCATTCGTAGAGAATATGTGTTTGAAACTATGCATTTGTGGAAAACATTTATTTGAAAACATGCATTTGTATTCATTAGGAGCTGAGAGTAATATCTGTTTGTGTGTTTTAGTTGATAGTGAGGAGAACATCTCACCTGCACATTCAGACGTCAGTCGTGTTTCATCTGGAACTGAAGGTCAGTCTGTGACATTGGTAGAACAAATCAAAACATGCACATTTCTGATGCAAATGATACAATTACAATTGAACTTTTTACAGTTTCTTACAGAATATCAAGACTAGTACAATTATATATATATTTAAAATAAAGATTTATTTGGTATGTCTTTGAGTAAAATAATTCCGATCACCCCTTAGGAAGAGGTTCTCAAACAATTACGGAATAACATATGTTTAACCTATATTTGCTGGATTGGCTCTAATTTTCATCATAATAAATGTTTTTATTAGTTATGACTGAACATCAAGGTTATTCCAGCAATTATACATTTTGTAACTGTTAAGAAGTTAAAAAAAAAGTTTTAGATTTTTTTTATGTCTCAAACTAATAAAAACATCAGAAAACATGGCACCATTTTGGTTATTTTATTCATAGAAAGAAATGCTCTTAAATAACAACATGGCAACATGTTTGGATGATGATTTGACATATTACTATACCAGACCAAAACAAATATTAACATTGTGCTTAAACCCAAACCTATTAAATATTAAAGGTGAGGAGAAATCACATCCCATATAGCTTGTGCTAAAAAAACAAAGTTTACTTGGATGTGTTAAATTAAACTTTTTACAACTATTAAAATGAAATAATTTTTAAAGAAAGATTTATCTGGTGTAGGTAAAATGTTTCAATTTGTTTTATTCTATAAAAAATATGTTCTCAAAAAATAGAAATTGGTCAAAATAATAAACATTTAATCTATATCTGCTGGAATTGCGCTGATTTTCAGTCATAACAAATTAGGGTTATACCAGCAAATATAGATTTTTTTTAATTTTTTTTATTTGCTTGTTTATTTTACAGGGACAATACACTTGACATTGTTATACAAAGATAACCGATGTTGTGTACATAGGGCATATAGCATAAAGCTAATTTGCAGCCCTCGTCCCTGGTTAGGCTTTACATTAAAAAAAAAAAATAATAAAAATAAATAAATAAATAATAAAGAAAACCGGCAAGAATAAAACACAATACAGCAAACATGTACAATATTTACAGAGCCATAAACATAAGATGCAAGTCCATATGGATAAAGAGAAATGTAAATGGGACCAACCTGAAAGAATAATGCTTAATGTTCACATTGCTGTAAAGATTTCAACCATTCTTTCAGCTTTACAGATAAAATTGGGAGTTCTGATTGTAACTTTAAATGAACAGGCATGGCGTTCCATAGATGTGAACCTTTTACTGAAAAGGATGACTGACCCACAGCGGTTCTGCATCTGCGGATTCTACAATTCCCACTTACTGCCCCTCTAGTCTTTGCCCCATCACTACTGAATTTATTTATTAACTCACAAACTACTTTAGGAGCAAGACCATGTATACACTTAAACATGTTTTTTAAAAACGAAAACTTTAAATACATTTTCATAACTCTTCAGGAGTATTTTTTGTTGTCTAAAATGATTATGCAGTGGACATCAGAAAACATGGAACCTTTTAGGTTATTTCATGCAATATAGTAACATACAATATGGTGGTTTGGATGATGATTTGACATGTTGTCATACCAGACCAAAACAACTATTAGCATTTTACTCAAGCTCATAACTAATAAATATTAAAGGTTAGGAGAAATCACATCCCATGTTTTTTGTGGAAGGTGATTGGGGACAAAAATCTATAAACCAGGAGCATGGAGCATGAAATTTGTCAAATTGGCCACATGCAT